TTTTCCCCTGTGTCGCAACTGGTAATTTCCCCAGATACGCATTTTCACTCGACTCTCAAACGCTCATTTTCATTGGACGCATCTTTTCACCTTCGGTTTCTGGTTTTCCACGCGACTAATTGTCGGACTCGGATTCAGTTTCGGATGGCCATAAAAGCGGGCCTGGTCGCAAATGTAATTAACGTTTCTTGCTCGAAATTTCCTGCTACGATTTCCTCCAAACTCGCGAACTGCAATTTCCCTGGCCGTTTCCCTCGCTTCCTACGTGAATTTCCAGCGAGTTTGTTGGTCATTAGCCGGGTCCATTTTCATTTTATCATTGCTACCTGCTTTCGTGGGACGAAACAACGACGAAACGACGTGTGCGAGACCAACTTTTCATGCACTTCTGTTTGATTTTCCACAGTTTTTCCGCTCCGCGGGCAATGTGAAATTTTTCGCTGTAAACGTGACCATTGCCGTTTGTCCCCTGCTGCTGTTGGAAAACTGTTTGTGCTGTTTTGTTGTTTGCCGCTTAATTAAATCGCCTAAGCACCTTGACCGATTTTCGCATTTCGGCGACCGCCGCCCATTCGTCCATTCAGCTACCCAAATACTACCGAGATACAAGATACATTTGTGCGAATCACCGAAAAACATTTCCGCCGCTCAGGGGCTCAATTTTTGTGGGTCACACATGGCCAGGAGGATTTGTTTGTGCGGCCTTAAGCCGGATTTGTTCCTGTTTCGGTTTCGGGTTTTAGCGGTATTTTATTGTTAGAGAGGAATTTTGTATTTATTTTTTACCTAAGTATTAAATTGGTAGCTAAAATAGTATACTATAAATTTTACCTATAAAATTCTGAAATTAACTACTCAACTTAAAGCTATTAAAACATTTCAACACAAATAGCACTGCAATGTGTCAGTACTTTAATTTTAAAGCTTATCTCAATTTAAATAAATTACCCAAATTACATTTTAGAAAAAAGATTTAAGAAGATTAAATGACAAGAACACCTAACAAATCAAAATGACCTAAATAGCCAAGGATAAATAAATATTTTAAGATTTTATGGCAGCAACATCCTTTTGATTTTAAGCCTAATTGATTTATTAAATTAAACAAAAAAGCCAACAAACAAAATGCTTTGAGCAAAAAGCCATTTGATCTTTAAATTCTTTGTGAATGAATAAACGCATTTAAAATAGTAACACTGATTATCGAAAATATTCTTCTTGGCCAAAATTATCATAGTTGTTACTTAAGCAAGCTCACATTTTGGAAACTTAGCATACAGTTTCCTTATTCGCAAAAGTAATACCATTAAATCCACTTACTTACCTCTATTTGCCCTAATAAAGAACTTGAATAACTCAATGTGCCGCAACAAATGCATTTAGAATGCTCAAGTGTATCTGAAGCTGTTTTTGACGGAACCTTCAGACCAATCTGGAAATCTGAAAATCAAAGCAGCTGCTTTCCATTAAGCGAGGCCTTTCATTCAACCTTAACTTCTGACAAGTACTACTTGCTTTGTAATTGCATAAAATGAGATGACAGAAGGCTGCAGGCTGTGTGGGCGGAGAACCTGAAGAGCAGAGCTCTCCAAATGAGTTAGTTTATTTCGAACTACCGTTTGCAAAGGCCCCGTTGCAATTAATGAGCCTGCCACTCCATTTAACTGGGATCTCTCGACTTCTAATTGGCTCACTCGGAGCCCAAACCCGAACCCAAACTCAAAACACTGACAGATGCACGCCAGTTAACAGTTTTTAATGTTTAATGTGCTGACGACGAGTATCTGACAGATACGTTTCGTTCGGTTCCCGTCTTGTTTACGGCACTGTGCAGATTTGCATTGTGGGCTGGGTTTTTCGGTCTCCAAGAACAGGTCTCATTTGAGGTACTCTTAGAAGAAGAGAATATTAGATCAAAGATAAAGGAATTATTATCGTAGTAAAAGGTATAACAGATATTATAGTTGATTAAATCAGGAAAAATACCATGAATAACCAATTTGAGATAATTTTCTTCTTGAAAAAAAGAGAACTAGATTATTTTAACTTCTCTCTCTCTATTCATTGAGAAAAAAATCCTCCTTTTTTTAAGATTTTCCTTGAACAAATACCTTGGAATATTTACAAAATATAGACCATTATTCATAAACTTACTAAGATTTATAAGTAAAGCTTAACTAGATCGTAAATTCTGTTTGAGCTGAGGGTAATCGCCACTTCGACTAGTAAAAATCTAGACTTAATATCTTGTTTTGGCTTGAATTTATTTGCTTTGGCTCTCTAGCGTTTCGAAGTGTCTCCGGAGTGCCGTGAACTCAATTATTTTTGCAATTACTTTTTATGATTCCACAGTTTACAGTTGCTTCACCTCCGGAGAGGCCTTCCTTTTCGATTGGATTGGAATTGGAAGTGGAGTGGAGTTTGCTACGCTGCTGTGTCATTGAGGGAGTTCTATTCTCTGTCCCCAATTGAAATGTCAACAATTGACTCCAACTTGAGGCGTTAGAAGCTGACATAATCGCCCCCACCAAAACGATGAGAGATGTATATAAAAACGAGGAGCAACACTCGGAAGTGGGTCAGTGGCTGGCATTTAGCATTTACCAGTTACCAGTTAGCTGTATCCATCAGATACACGTATAAAGTATCTGGGAGCGTCATCTCTTGGCCATTTGTGGGTTTGTTTTGCTAGTACTTGGTACACTATGGTAGCTTAGCTGTACCTATTGTGGCCAAGAACCGGTTCCCGAAAGCACTAAGTAAACGGCCGGCCAAAGAGGAGTTTAAGCCCCGGTTTTATGGCCATTGTACTGTCCGTCGCGGTTCCTTGGCACTCTTTCTGCCCTCACGGGGGAAACCAGTTTTCAATCGGCTCTTGACTCTTGATTTACCTGCACTAAATACTATATAGTAAATACTATATACCCCTTTTCGGTCACGCTTAGCTAGAACATATATTCCGCCCTCCAAGTTGTGTAGTTTTCTTACAATATCGTCTTATGCAAATCACTTGAGCTGTTTTCCCCTCCATGTCTAATGTCGATTTCGTGGCTTTTCGACGACTTCCGCTCGGCTTGTTTATGGGCCACAATTTGTTGACTTATTTATTTGAAATCTGGCAGAGTTGCACAACAATTTCCCAGCGAGAAGTCGTTTAAGTGCAGACACCACCGCCGAGAAGTCATGCCACAGTTGAGTGCCCCTGTCCCCCGCCTTCTGCACTGGAAAATAAATGTTAAACAACTTTGAAAAAACAAAAAAATATTACTAATCTCATAAGAGGAACCACAAATATCTGTATTTGATTTATTTGAGTTTTATAAGTCGACTAAAGAAAGGGTTTTAGCCCACATATCAAATTACCTGCATTTATCTGAAGAATTCGGGTTTTCATTGCAATATTATTAAAGTTGAAGAATTCATTTCTTGAAAATCCTAAAAGCAAATAAATTTTTAGATATATAAATATCAATTCTGCTTAAAAGTTATTTTCCTTACATCATAACAAATTTGCGTAGGTAAGATTATTTATATTATTTCAAGATATGGGACTTAAAATGAAAATAAGAATATTGAAAGTTAAATCTCTGTATAAAATATATTTATTCTCCCTTAATTTTTCTTTGTGTGCCTAATTTACATTGGCAACTCCACGGGCCAACTGGCTGAGTGACTCGATTTAACTTGGCCCGAACTGTGCGCCTGACTCACTGACTAACTGACTGAATGGCTGGATGACTGACTGGCTGAGCGATTGCAGCCTGTCTTTGGGTTTTGGCTTGGCTCGAAGCAAATGTTGCACGACTCTCGCTTTGCTTTCGATGTGGTTGCCGTTGTCTCGCCTTAATTCGGTGGTCTGGTGGTGCGGTGGTCTGCTGTTTCGGCGGGTCTCTCTTGCCAGTCAGTCGGTGGTGGAACGCAGACCCAGTCCCAAGTCGCAAAAGTCTCCGGCTTTTCGAGCTGCAAGCTGAAAGCTGCAAGTCGCCTCGGTGCATTCATAATTGGATTTGCCATATTGCGCGCTTCATATTCCGTGTTCCGTATTCCTAATATCAATATCGATTGGCACCTCTTGACAGTTCAGTTCTGTGAAGATAAAATAAAATGGAGAGTGCCCTGCCGGTGGCCGAGTTCCAGCAGATAAAGCTGCGGCCGGTGCCAAAGGTCAAACGCCGCGCCCCCCAGCCGCCAGTGAGCCTCCGTCTCAAGCATAAAAATGTGCGAAAAGTAGCTTTAAGTACCACACCGAAAACCCCATTTTACCAGACCTCGTAAACCCCGTGCAAAGCATTTGCTGAACTTTCGCTCTCTACGGAAAAGCGGGAAACTGCAAAAGTGAACTGTGCTGTGCAAAAGTGAAAACAATGTATTTTCCACAATAGAAAAGGAGAGCAAAAGCGTGGGAAGATTGCCCTGCGATTAAGGGGCAATGTTGGCTGATCCTCACATGGCAATTTGAAATGAGAAAACCAGATTATATTGTAGGAAATACAACCCATTGTGATCTGCACACTTTTCATTTAATAATTATGAAGGCATTTAAAAATTGAGAAGATAAATTTAAATGGAAATTTGGAATCATATTAAAAGAATGGATAGCTTTCTTCATTTTCTTCATCATCATTTTAGATTGTTCTAAATTATTTTAAAAAGAAAATATAATAATCATATTTTACAAATGGTTAAGATGGGAAAATATGGGTTTTACACATTAAAAATTATCTTGTCCAAACAAAATAAATAAATAATCCTTAAACATTCTGGAAAAATAAATAATTATAATAAAAATCCTTATCAAGGGCTTTTCTTATCCCAATTTTATCTTTATTTTAATATTTTGTATTTCATTTATAATTTTCTGTAAAAAACTCTTCCTCAATTTCTCTCTTAATTAAACTTTTACAAATTTATATCTATGTAAATATTTTTTTTAAGGAACTCTTCCCAAATATCTATCTTAATAATAATTATTTTATTAAATAATCCATTTTCCTTTCTAGACTTCAGCCACCACAAAGACAACCACGCTCACCACCCCGGCCAAACTGTATGGCAAGGATCTGAGTGAGTACGATGATGTGGATGTGGAGAGCCTGCTGGCCCAGCTCTCGCCGGAGGAGATAACCATACTGGCCAAAGAAGTGGATCCCGATGTGAGTGGACTTTTGCAAAATAAAATAAAATAATTTCTAACCATTATCTTCTTTAACCAACAGGACAACTTCCTGCCGCCAGACCAGCGCAACAGCTACGAGTGCACCAAGGAAGCCACCGGTCCGCTCAATCGCAAGCAGCTGATCGAGCACATCAACAAGCAGGCCATCGAGACGCCCGACCAGCCGGAATTCGAGCCCTATGTCCAGGGCAAGGTGCGCGGCAAGAAGTGGGTGCCACCGCCGAGGGATGTGCGCGAGATCGAGGCCGAGGAACAGATCGCCATCGACATGGGCGAGGAGTACGAGCACGCGCTGAACGATGCCACGCAGGAGGAGATCATCGATCTGGCCGCCATCCTGGGCTTCCACTCGATGATGAACCAGGACCAGTACCACGCCTCCTTGCTCAACAAGGGCCAGCCGGTGGGCATGGGCTGGGATGGCATCACAAAGTCCACCCAGCAGAAGCTCTTCCCCATGGATCCGCCCAACAGCACAGATGTAGAGGAGTCCATCAAGCGGGTCAAGGACGATGACTCCAAGCTGATTGACCTCAACTTGAACAACATTAAGGTTTTACTTGGATTTTATCTATTATCATTTATCCTTTTTATACCCTTGTAGAGGGTATTATAATTTCAGTCAGATGTTTGCAACGCAGTGAAGGAGACGTTTCCGACCACATAAAGTATATATATTCTTGATCAGCACCAAAAGCCGAGTCTATCTAGCCATGTCCGTCTGTCCGTCTGTCCGTCTGTCCGTCTGTCCGTCTGTCTGTCTGTCCGTCTGTCCGTTTCTATGCGAACTAGTCTCTCAGTTTTAAAGCTATCGCGATGAAACTTTCCCGAAAGTCTTCTTTCTATTGCAGGTAGTACATATGTCGGAGCGAGCCGGATCGGACCACTATATCTTAAGGCTTCCATAGGAATATTCAAACAAATATAAGAAAATTCATTGTAACTTTGTAGGAAGTAGGCGTTTTGATTCTTGACTACTTAAAAACAAAATTGAAATAGAAACGCTTAATCTGGAATCGCTGGAATTGCACCGAGTGAGCATTACTTTATCTGCAAGGGTATATAAGCTTCGGCTGGCCGAAGGTAGCTTCCTTTCTTGTTAACTTGTGTATTTAATTACTTTTTAGAACATCTCGGACGAGAAGCTCGAGCAACTGTTTGCCGCACTGCCTCAGAACGAACATCTGGAAGTCCTCTCGCTGACAAATGTCGGCCTCACCGACAAGACAGCCCTTTTATTGGCCGAGGCCATCGAGAAGAGCAAAACCCTGAGAGTATTAAATGTCGAGACCAACTTCATCAGTCCGCCCGTGATCGTTAAGCTGGTGCAAGCCCTGCTCAAGTGCCACACCATCGAGGAGTTCAGGGCCTCCAATCAGGTGAATGTAATTTAGATTAAATTGTAACTATTCAATGCCAAATAGATACTTAATTTAATTTTATATATTTAATATTAATTTATTTATTTAACTACCCCCAGCGATCTGCGGTGCTGGGCAACAAGATCGAGATGGAGATCACCGACCTGGTGGAGAAGAACTCCTCCCTTTTGCGCCTGGGCTTGCACCTGGAGTTCAACGACGCCCGCCACCGAGTGGCCGCTCACCTGCAGCGCAACATCGACAGAAGTAAGTTGACCCTAGGGATTGACAGTTGACTCCCAGCGATCTACTAGCGATTCCGCCATCAGCGTTGGTTCCACCGGGTTCTAGTTCCACTGCTGACCCTCCTCCTCCCCTCGATAGGATTAGGTATATTTCTTATTGACTGAGTTGCCTCACTCGCGCGTTTAGGTGAATTGCAACAAGGTATGTTAGCCAGCGGAATCACCAGCACCACCATCGCTTCGCCATCATCATCCGCAATCGCAATTCATCATGACCATTCAGACTCCAAGGCGGCCAAGGATATCTCGCCCACCAGGTTGAAGAGCCTGGCTGCCTTCGAGAAGTTCATCAAGGCGCGCACCTGGACCACCGATACCGATCCTTCCGATAGTGTAACCCATAACTTGCCACCTGCAGGGCGTCTAGTGCGCAATCTCCAGGCGGAGGCGGTGGCATCCGCATCCTCGTCGGGAGCTGGAGATGAGAAGAAGATTTAAAATGATGAGCGAACCATCCGTTTGGTAACAGAGTAACAGCTCCACGTTCTTGTTGCGTCCTCCCCAGCCCCACTCTTCACTCTATCGTTTTATCTCTATATATCTATTGTGTCTGGTAACCAGGTAATCCGTTCTCGGCCTCCATTAGCCTCATCGTCACTGCAGATCTCCAGACTTAACCCCATCGTTCTACATTCTCACATCGTCTCACCAGCCTTCGTTGCGTTATCGTTATCGTTCACTTTTCGTTATCACGTTATCGTTCGTTTACACCTGTCGTTATCGTTCTGCGTTCGGGGTTCTCATAAGATATATTTATAAATCGTATTAAGTTGGGTATTGTAAAGAATAAGTAATAGCACTGAAGAATTCGCGGTACCTATTTTACTGAAGAATTCGCGGTATTGGAATATCATGAATTCTATTTACTTCATTACTCTGTTTTAAAAGTACTGAAGAATTCGCGGTTTCTTAAATTCAATATATTTTAGTGCTATTATTTACCACATTATAATTTACATACATTATTTAAGGGTAAGAGGGTTCAGTACGTATATCATTCTTCCATATCCACTCGATGCTAACCCATGTGTTACCCCTATAGATTAGAGCCAGGAACTCGCCACCTTTGTAATATTCTGTGCCACCCCCTCGTTTCTCTCTCGTCTGCCCTTTTCTTGTAATTACCATAGAATGTAAAAAAAGTGACTTTCGCCAAAAAGAAGAACATTAACCAATTATCCACTTGTCTGTTGTAAATGTTGCAACGCCCACTCTCAAAACTCAAAACACCCGAAAAAAAAATCGACAACACAGTCTTCCGCGTTCAGAAACTCAAGCCCAATCTGCCCAAGTTGATTCTGCCGGGCAACATGGAGATTGAGCGGGATCTAGTGGCCTATAACCGATCGGCCACGCCCTCGCCGTCGCCTTCGCCGCAGCCCCCGGCGGACTATGAAGTGGAGGAGGACCCGGATAATATGGTCATCCGGGGCGGCGGCGATGCCTTCGATCCGGAGTTCGATCCCGACAACATGGTGGTGCCGGGCAGTCGGTCCGTGACGCCAAACTACGACGATGAGGGCGTCTATCAAGCGCACACGTGAGTGAGAAGTCGAGCAGCCACTGCCGCAGCCGCACCACCGGAGCCACAGAACACCACAGACCAGAAAACCACTGCAAACCACAACAGCAACCACAAGTTCGAGCCATGTACAGACAGTCATTCGATCCACTCGCGCCTTTCCCTTTTTCTGTCTCATTGGTTATGTAACCCTCGATGTTGTCGTTGTCGTTTTGACCAGCCAGAAATGCCAAATACACACCCAAACACCCTGGACTCTGGATGCAGTCCAGCGATCTTGCCGACCAAGAACTTGTACATACCCCACAATGAAAACCAGGCGGAAAAAAACCCCTAAAAAATATCATTTCCAAATTGCCAGCAATACTTCTTTTTATATAAAAATAATCTATCATTTAAATGGGATTTCTCGAATTAGAGCTAGAAAATTATCGATATTTTCGATATTTTAACAATGTCGATTATTTTAATTTTCGATTAATTAAATTTTAAAAAAAGTGAATACATATATATAAGAATGAAATGATTTAAAACCCTTTTTAAGAATCTAAAATTTTATAAATATGTTTTCTGTGGCATTTGTAAAATCCCATACGATATTTTAATATAAAAATAAACCTATTGATGGTAATTATTGGAAATATTTTTTTGTACTGTGCAGAAACCGGAAAGTGATTCCAGCACAAAACTCCCTTTGTTAATATCCGTTTTCCATGTCGTCGTTGTCAGCCGCTTTTTCCATTCGAAATCGATCCGTGTAAATAATCCAGCCACGATATCCTATATCATTCAGATCAGATGCGTGCTATTAACCCACACCCAGGCACACCCACATACACACTCTCATCGCAGCACTCTGTGTTTTGTATCTTTGTGTCTTTCTATCTCCCAAAAAACAGACGAATTCAGAGATATCAGCCAAAAACGATTCAGAAATTCCGTTCTCGAGACAGTCAGAAAAACTCATAATTATTATTTATTCCCCCTCTCTTTTTTGTGACCTGTCTTTATCACCTTTTGTTTATGTGTTCTATTCTCTCTCTCTCTCTTCCCCTCTTTCTGTTTCTCGTTTTCAGTAAGAAAAGATCTTGAGTTGCGACTGCAGTTCAGATTTTTCAATAATCTGCATAGAAAGTCGACAAGAATTCAATAAGCAGACCAGAAAAAAAACAAGCAACTAAAACTAAACCATTTTTAAAGCGTTTTGTAATCTAAACCCAAAGAACCGAAGAAAAACAGAAGCACATAACAACGAAAGAACGTGTATAATATAATATATATAAAGATACAGAGAAGAAGGAAGCAGGAGCAGAAGTTTAAGCTAAAGATAAAGCAGCCGACAAACCGAGCTAGCCGAAAAAATATCTATATACTCTAGAGACTTTAACTAAGCAAAGCAAACTGAAACCAAAGAAACGAAGTGAAATATCAAACTAAATGCATAAACCATATATATATATCGATAAAGATCGCAGATCGAACAGGCTCGTGATCCATGGTGATCCAAGGCCTCTTCTATAACCCAGCAGAAATCGTTTAGGCGTATCACGTGTATAATTTTCTCTAACGCTTAACACAGGTATCTATGAACACGGATTGTCTTCCTTTCACTTCTTCAACTTCAATTTCTTCTGCTAACTCGCAAGAATTGCAAAAAATAACCAAACCCCCAAAAGAGCAACCGGCATTCTGCTATATATAGCTTCGATATATATAGCCTATAACTAGCTTTCGCAGATTTTCGATTAGAGAGAGCATTTGGCTGACTGTTTGCCTAAATCTATAGCAGTATCGACTGTAAACTAAACCAAGATCTTTTTATACTCTTGCAAATATTACTTTAAAGGAGTTCTCAAATACTTTTCATGTCCGATCTGTAACTTTTATGATCTTCTTTGAAAATTATAACACCTATGAATTATAAATTATTTATTTTTATATTTTTTCCAAATTTATATATGGAATATATATAGTATATCTGCAAGGGTATCTGAAGCTTCGGCTCTTCGAAGCTAGACCTTCCTCTTTTGTTTGTGTAATACCCACTGATCAGTCATGAACACTAGCATCCGTTTATGTTGTGACCTCATTGTGTAAATGATACTGTTTAAGTTTAACCATCAACTGCATGTTTTCGCTTTTTAAACCCACCGTTTTTGCACGATTTTCCCCCAGCCGAACCATTTGCATGTTATATGTGTGATCATATCTCAGAACACTATCCACACACTTTAGACAACTCTTTGCAGTGAGCTTGAATTGGCGGCTCTAATAAAGTTCTCTTCGTATAGGAATTAAACTGCGATGTATGATCTAAGTGCGTTTCCCAGAGATCCGATCCGATAGTAGCAGAAAAACCCATAACAAAACTAGATTTGAGACACTTTTATGATTCAATCAGAACCACCAACTAACAGCAGAAAAATAAAAAAATCCAGCACACCACCGACAGAGAAGAGCCATGAATAAACCTACCAAAAAATATTAAGTACGATGCAGAATATCTCGAAACAGATCAAAAAAGTTGGTACCCCCTTCTGTCTAAGTAATTGTTGTGTTGATCTGCAGCCGAAAAGAAAATTAACCCCGATTAATAATTAATAACCCCGAAACAGCTTTAGTGTTTAAGGACCTTTGCCCGAAATAAAGCCCAAAAAACTTGGGCCAACTTGAATGTTGTACCTGCTACCTTTCTTGATTGTTTTATACATTGATTGATTGACTGAAGTTCGAAACTAACCCGAAAACTAAATTGTTGAATCCTTCTCTATAATGACACACATATGCTATATTCTCTATAATGACTAATGCCAATGTATTTGTTTCTTCTCTTTCGCCCTTCCGCCCACGCACAAACACACTCTCGTTATCCTGTATCTGTGTTTCCAGTACGTGTGAAACGCCTCAATCAGCGTAAATAAAAAGACAAATTACGAAATATATAGCAGCAACCAAGCAACCAACCAACAACAACATGCCACCAACCCAAGAACAACAATCAAGCAGAAAGCCATCTATATGTGTGTGTGTTTTGTTTGTCTGACTCTTGATTTGATTATCAAATAATTACCAAATTAACAAGCAACAAAAACCCAGCAAACAAGAACAACATCTACAACTACAACATGAGCAACCACGGCAACAAGAACAACAGATCTATATGTCTATCCACAATTCCCCAAACCAACCGAACTCCTCTGTACTCCCCGAAAACCAATCCACCCAACGAATCCAACCAACCAGCTGTGAACTAACAACGAAGAATGATGTGCGACATGAAGTACGTGAAGTATCTTATGGATAATAGCTTAAGTATTTTACGAAGGTAACTTAAATATTAAGTGATTTTTTTAACAAGTCGGTTTTTAATTATAGCATCAGTTCATTGACAAATACAAAGTCCATTTCATTTGTTTATATATATTTTTTAAATATAAACAAATTAGAGATTCAGGAAAACATTGTACTATAAATGCAGTTTTATTTATTTTATATTTAATTAAAAATATAGAAAATGTATTCAAAATTATAGACACAGTGAAAAAGCTTGAAAAAATATCGAAAATTTGCCATTTATCGATATTTAATACGTGTTTACTCTTAAAACATCGATATTATCTAATCAATATTGGGAAAATATCTAAATGATCGATAATTTTCCAGTTTTAAACAGAGAAGCCTAGTCCCCGAACTTCTTAAGTAGATATTAAAAAGTTTTAGTGACATCATATGATATACCACTGGAAAAGTATACTTTTCGATTTCACCACATCAAGTGAAGCATCATAAGTTAGCACCTAAGATCGCCTGGTGACCCCGTCAGCAGAAAAGCGTCAATTTTAGCGCTGCTAGCCGAGATTGCCCCGAAAATAGACCCTAAATGGGTGGGTAAATATGTACGAAAGAGGAAACCTGATTAGCAAATCTATTAGCTTAGCCTTAGCTTTTTTCTGTGGCCACTGTACTATGCTTATTCAACTGTTGTGCGTCATGCCTCGTTTGAACCAATCTTGTTAAATGTTTAACGAGAATATTACTAATTCTGATTTTCGAATATTTTCCAGTTGGACGTCAGCGTCGCATGGGACATCTGAGCAGGAACTACACCATTGGCGTCTGGCAGTAGGATTTATTGGAGTCTACACTTTGCTACACCGAGAGAAAAAGAGAAAAATGCAATAGCCTAAAAATAGTGTTGTCATACTTGTTGTTGTTGTTCTCACGCGAAGAATTGTTCTTAAATTGTTTTGTTTAATGTTTGTTGCGTTCTTCACAGATTCAGATGATTTCGGTTTCGAGTTTGTGTTCGGTTCACCATATATAATCATAACCATTTGTTTGTTACGAGTTAGGCGAATGTTCATTGTCACACACACACGCAGATCGAAGATTAGCTTTCCGTCAGGCAGCTCTAAAATAATTCTTTCCTTAAGCGAAATCTTTACATTTACGCTGCAGCTATACACACGTTTACTTTATTTTATTTACCTTCCATTCTGTCCTTCGATTTTTGTTCAGCCCCTAGATGGGGTGATATTTCACAATTTTTAGTTTTAGTCGTGTTTATATCCACACATATGCACACCACCACACACATGATACAAACACATAACATACATAATACTTATACACACTATATATATATGATACATATATAGCCATGGTCTCTGAAAACAATTTACTGCTATTGAATTATAAAAATGCTTAAACATAAATTTAACTTATGGTTAAACACACAAAACAAATGAAAAACAAACAATTGTATAATGTAATGATATATCTTACTTTATATGACATAATGCAATGCTTTTAAAATACAATTTTTAAAAATCATGTAAAAACTTTAAAATTAAATAAAAAAAAACTAAAAAAGATATTTATGCTACTATGGTGATTTATTGGGGGTGGAATGAAAAGCATATTTTGTTATGAATTTATTTATAAACTATTTTTTGTTTGTTATTGATTAAAATTTAAAGTCTAGATAGTACTTTTTAAATACTACTGTTTCTACGCAAATTGCTTTCGTCAACGGGCTTAGTATCAGCTAAAAATAGTAAAACTTTATTAGCTCTTTGAGATAAGAACAGATTATACAGTAGCCGCCTAAGGTTAGATAATATCTAAATACCTAAAAACAGTGTGTCTCATCACTTTCGATTATCAAGCGATCTTTCAACCCGAAAAGCTCCTCTAATCACAGCTGTATCGAGGTGGATGGATAACTGTGAAGATAAATATTTACCCGGTGAACGAGTAGTGCACACTTGATTAACGATTCTCCACAGATTGCGCTTGATTAATGGAAAAATTCCGATTATCAATCGGGGACACTTGTGCCAGTTGGCTGCCCGGTCGTCGACAATTCCAAGATAAACATAGATTTCGGTCATTGTTAAGATCGCTTTGGCGTGTTTATGGAACCGCTGTGGATATAACTGAAAGATACAACCTGTATCCCGCTTCCACACACGACACGCGTCGGGTTTCTGGGCAAACAGCCTCCGGAGATAAGAGCGCGTGACGCAGCCCCTTGGATCATCAGGTTCCGGCGGCGTGTCGTCCCAGCCATCAGTTCACGCAGAGATCTCGGCCAGAATGTCCACGCTGGAGAACGAGGTGACCTTCCGCAAACGGGCGGAGGTTAATCACAGTCTGGAGGCGCAGTTCGACAGCTCCTCCACGGATTTCATTTTAATCACTGACCATCGCACCTCGAAGAGCAAGAGTTTGGAGCAGCTGGAGGCCTCCAAGGAGACGGAGAATCCGGAATCCTGCTGCTCCCGATATGCCCGCAATATCTTCCGGAAGAAGACCCTCCTGCGGCGACTGCCATTCCTCACCTGGCTACCGCACTACAATTCCAAAGACTGCATAGGCGATTTGATAGCCGGATTCACTGTGGGTCTTACCGTGATCCCACAGGGTTTGGCCTACTCGGGCGTGGTCGGTCTGCCACCAGAGGTGAGTCTCTATATGTAACTATATATTTAAAAATGGTATTGCCATTTTAAAAGTCTCAAATGCTTAAGAAGCCTCTAAAAAGTTTTGTAGCGTGTACCTCTTTTGATTGGTTAATCAAGATATCATCTTGTTTTCTCAACTTATTCACAAGTTAAGGGCAATGGAAAAGCACCGAGTTAAGTTATAGGTGACATCTTGATCACTTATCACAAGTGTGTCTCGGGTGAAGCAGGTCTGCGCGAATAAAATCGATATATAATCGTTGTCCTTGAAATAATTCGAAACTTTTAAAAATAGAAGGATATTAATCCTGCAGATTTCAGATCTCATCTGGAATTTATGATTTTTAAAGTGTAACATTACGAAGTGCAGTTTTCAAAAATACTTTTTTATTAATACATAACTGTGTCAAAATAGCTCGAATCTTTTTCCAAAAGTCGGGTCTACTAATATGAAAGGTGTTTATATGTAAATAATTATTATAATCCAATCGATAGATATTTCTTTAGTAACCTCTGGGTAAAATACGTTCCAAAACCAATTATTTCGATTATTTTCCATTCCGTGTCCTATTTTTTATTTTTCCCGTATGATCACGCGATGTTGGTGTTCCCCAGGCCTGCCTTTTAAAGCGATCTCTCTTAGGCATTTCTTCCTAAAAAAATATATAATAAAATAATTATTTAAAGAAATATTTATCAGGAAAATTTCGAACAAACAAACCTCCAAAAGTTCATTGGGATTTTCGGGAGCATAGATTGTCTGTTGAATATAGAAATAATTGGGCATTAAAACTGATCTATACAGCCTCTCAACTGATTTACCGTCTGGTTATCATCTATAGGTATAAGTCCATTGTTTCCTAATTCAGGATATCCATTGTGTTCGTTTTTATTTCCACTAATTAGTAGAAATTCGTTCGTGAGGAGAAGTATCAGACAGAAGAAGCACTTTTTCATTTTGTCCGTCGTATTTGAGTTCGAATTTCGAAATAAAGGGATTGAATGTAAATTAATGGTTATGCCTCATATTCCGCAGCTTTTTATACTGCGGTTAGTGGTATATTTGGGATATATATTGCGTCAATGAACTATATTTTACTTCCTAAGGGTTTTACCAGTTGTAATGACTAAATTCTTATTTAGGAAGTATATAACCTACAATATATAGGTAATTTCGAAAAGCTTCCTAAAATGATTCACTATATTGTGGATGACACCAAATGTTATTTTAAAAATTGTATATCTAAGAAATTTGTTGAGTTTTTCTATGTTTAGGGTACACAGTAATGAAAAGCTAAGAATTATTGTGAAATTTTTTTCTATATTTAGTATGGCCTGTATGGATCCTTTATGGGCTGTTTCGTCTATGTCCTTTTGGGGACCTGTAAGGACAGTACGATCGGCAGCACAGCGGTGGCCTCCCTGATGACCTTCCAGTTCGCCCAGGGATCCTGGCAGAGATCCGTGCTCCTGACCTTCCTCACCGGCATCATAGAGATCCTGATGGCCATCTTCAAGCTGGGCTGCCTGGTGGAGTTCGTTTCGGGACCCGTGAGTGCTGGGTTTACGAGTGCCGTGGCGTTGATAGTGTCCACTTCCCAGATGCGTTCGATGCTGGGAGTGAAGAGCGAGGGCGGATCCTTTCTGGCCACCTGGATTAGCATGTTCCGGGATATCGAAAACATCCGGGTAGCCGACACCTGTTTGGGTTTCGGCTGTGTTTTCCTGCTTCTGGCCATGCGGAGTCTGGGAAAGTTCACCATTGGCCCGAAGGATGAGGCGAGGAGGAATGGTTTCCAGAGGGTCATAAACCAGGTGATCAAATTCCTGTCCACCTCGCGGAATGCCTCGGTGGTGATTGTATTTACCGCGATCACCATGTACCTGGATGCCCAGGAAACTAACCCCTTTCGACTGACTGGAAATATACCCAAAGGCATGCCGACACCATCACTTCCCCCATTTTCGATTGAAGCTCAGCCGGGAAATGAAACGGCTGGAATTCCCCCAGTCGAAGGGCAGAACTTCCTCGAAATGGTTCAAAGTTTGGGCTATGGACTCGTTATCGTACCTCTGATGGCCCTCCTCGAAACCATGTCGGTTTGCAAGGCCTTCGCCAAGGGAAAGCAGATTGATATCACCCAGGAAATGATCGCCTGCGGGGTGGGCAATATTGCCACCTCCATTTTCTCGGGATATCGATGCAATGGCGGCTTGGCCCGATCGGCGGTGAATAATGCCAGCGGATGTCGCACCAATATGTCCAATCTGTACATCGGTGTCATCGTGGTGCTGGCCCTGAATTTCTTGACAGACTACTTTGCATTTATCCCCAAGGCGGTGCTGGCAGCTATTATCATATCGGCTGTGATCTTTCAGGTCCAGTACCAGGTGGTAACGCCCATGTGGAGGAGCAAACGTGAGTTAAACGCAGAAAAAATCATAACATTCTAAATTATCAAACAAAAATCGACACTACAAATATCAAGATGATATTAATTAACATCCATTTGTTATTTTTGATAAAAATAATTGGCATTTCCCTTTTTCTTTGGCTTTAGATAATGTCAAAAAAAGAGATCCTAAAAATTTCAATTTGATGTTAATTGCTATAAATTTTATATTTTCGATAAAAATATTTGGCATTCCTCTTTTTACTAAAGAATTCGCGGTCTTATTTTATTTATGAAACAATCTATCTATAGCTTTATGCAATGAAACCTATCAAAAATATTATTTCATCTTGCTCTGAAGAATTCGCGTTTTCATTTTAAATGTTTAACAATAGAAAATGGTATTCATAATTATCTTATTATATTATAATCTTATTATAATTCTTCCAGGTTCCGATCTAGTGCCTGGAATCCTGGCCTTCGTCACCTGTTTGGTGCTGCCCCTGGAAATCGGCATTATGGTGGCCATTGGTGTGAATCTCCTGTTTATCCTGTACTATGCAGCCAGGCCAAAAGTCACTTTGGAGCAACTGGAAACCCAGCAGGGCATTCGATTCGTGAAGATCACTCCCGATCGCTGTCTGATCTTTCCCTCGGTGGAATTTGTGAGAAATATGGTGCTCAAGCTGGGCAGCAAATCCACTCTGCCCGTCGTCATCGACTGCACCTATATCTTTGCAGCCGATTATACGGCCGCCAAGGTTATATCCTCCATTGTGGACGACTTTCGGCGGCGTCAGCAAAAGATCATATTCTTCAATCTGAAGCCCAGTGTGGTTAGCGTCTTTGAAGGACTGAACACAAGGTTGGTGCTGTGCTATAACACTCATGCCCTCAACCAGGAACTCCGACCCGATGATCAGGATCTTTCGAGATCCGTGGACTCCCTCGATCACGCCGAATCCGGAAATGGAGCTAGCGAATGCGTCAGCATGGCCAGCACTCTTTCACTGGCCAGGAGTTAGTCTTACTATGATCTAAATAAAGTTAAGTTATCTATCATTTCGAAAAAATAACATTATTTGTTTTTGGGATAAAAGAGAAAAATTTCTCTTTTTATCAAAAAAGGTAGATCTGGATTTTACACTTAAAAAATCAGTGTTTTGAACGAAACCAAATAAATATTTGTACCGGATAATTTGATTATTAATCTTAAGGACAATATATTTGCATTAAATTGTTAGTAAAAATCAACTTCAAACTATTCCTAAATTTTAGGATTAGTTTTAAAGTTACGATCAGCATCTAATAAACTTAAGTGAAGGTAATCATCATCGTATTCGTCGATTAAAAAAAAAAGAAAAATAAAGATTAAAATGTTAGTAATTATGAATACAAGTAGTAAACTTACTTTGTCTTCGCAACCAACTCGATAAGTACTTTTAAGTTTTTAATGATTTAGGAAAAAAAGTCTATATATAGACTGATTTAATGGACTGATTTGAAATATACCGAAGCTACTTCCAAAACTTTCTTATAGACATGTTCTTCTCGGAGTCCTTCATCATGACCTTGGACACGGCCATTTCGAAGTCCTCCTGGTTGACATGGACGCGTCTCTCCCTCAACGCATACATCCCGGCCTCGGTGCAAACCCCTTTGACCTCGGCTCCCGAAGCCCCGGGCATAAGTTCGGCGATCCTACGAAGATTTATGCCCCTAGTTAGGTTCATCTTGCGGGAATGGATCTTTAAGATATCCAGCCGGGCCTCCTCATTCGGTGGGGGAAACTCTATTTTGCGATCAATGCGACCGGGTCGCAGTAGAGCCTGATCCAAGACATCTATCCTATTGGTGGCCATGATAACCTTGATATTCTTGGTGGCCTCGAAGCCATCCAGTTGATTGAGCAGTTCTAACATGGTGCGTTGCACCTCCGAGTCACCAGTTCCGGTTTCTAACCGAGCGGAACCAATCGAATCAATCTCGTCCATGAATATGATGGAAGGAGCATGTTCCCGGGCCATCACGAAGAGTTCCCTCACCATCCGCGAACCTTCGCCTATGAATTTTTGCACCAATTCCGATCCGGAAACCCGGATAAAAGTGCACTCTGTATGATGGGCCACCGCCCGGGCTAAAAGAGTTTTTCCGGTGCCAGGAGGTCCGTAGAGGAGGACTCCCTTTGGCTGGGCAATGCCCAGAGCATCAAATAATTCCGGATGCTTAACGGGCAACTCGATCACCTCCTTGATCTCCTGGATTTGCTTGTCCAACCCACCCACCATTTCGTAGGTGGAGTCGGGAACCTTTTCCACCAACATCAGCGACACCAAGGGATCCACTTTGTTGGGCAAGATCTTGTGAAGGGTATAGCTCTCATTCCGAAGGGCAACGCGACAATTGGGCGTCACATCCTTAATATTGATGGCCTTGTCCACATCCACCACGTACTTTCCCTCGGGATGGACCTTTACCAGAACCTTATTTTTATCCATGGGCTTTACCACCTCGGCAATATAGCTGCCCTGTTCCTGGAGCAGCTGTAGCTCCTCACGCAGCAAGCGAACTGTAACTTACAGGGAAAGATATTAAAAAGGATATTATAATATAGAATATAATCTAATCCACCCTTCGAGTTGAGTTCATTGCGTTGAGCCTGCAAACGCAGCAAGTTCTTCTGCCGCTCGATGACTGTAAACTGCAGTTCTGATATTTTCTGTGTGAAGTACGAATGAAAACCGGGACCGTCACCATCCCCAGGTATTCCTACATCTATGTTCATCTGGGAGAGAATTTATAAGAGGGGTTTCTAAAATCTAGAAATTCCACTATCCAATACCTTAATAACTCCAAAATGTTTCTATTACTTTTGCCTAAAATTCTTGATACAATTTTGTTTATTTTTTTAAACGAACTGAAGCGGGCGATGAGACAACAGTTTTTTACAGTGCTGAAAAATGTTTGACAACCAAGGGATGGAAACTTGATTCCGGAAAGGTTCTTGAACAGGCTAAATATGGGAAAAATTTAAACGTTATCATTATACCCGTTACTCGTAGAGTAAAAGGGTATATTGTATTCGTGCAAAAGTATGTAACAGCTAGAAGGAAGCGTTTCCGACCCCATAAAGTATATATATTCTTGATCAGGGTCACTAGCCGAGTCGATCTAGCCATGTCCGTCTGTCCGTCTGTCTGTCCGTCTGTCTGTCTGTCTGTCTGTCTGTCCGTATGAACGCTGAGATCTCAGAAACTACAAAAGCTAGAAGGTTGAGATTTTCCACACATATTCTTGGGCTTCCTACGCAGCGCAAGTTTATTTCAGACGAGCGCCACGCCCCCTCTAACGCCCACAATCGCCCACTAACGATTTTAAAATGTGCCTGGCGGTCACACCTTTGAAGATTTCCGAGAAGTATAAATGCAATTTTGTTGTGTATATTTATACCTATCGAAATGTAGAAGACATTTTTCAAATCGGACCATTCATTAAAAAGTTATACGCAATCCAAAAATATATAACCATCTCCCTCGCACTCCCTTTAGCCGAGTGACGGGTATTAGATAGTCGGGACACGAACCCGACTATAGCGGTCTCTCTTGTTTTTAAATTGTATTATATTTATAATTTGGAATTTCAAACCTTTAAATATTTTTTCCAAAAGTTTTTATTTCCCACATTTATTAATCGAGTTTACATTTTCAGCTTTCTTTCAACCAATCTTATCTCAAAAGCGATTCGTTTATTAATGATGCGTTCGAGCCAAAAGATTTACTGCCCACATGAAGCGCCAAATTAAATCACAACACGTCTTAGGTTTGAAGGTAGCCTCAAATCTTGGCAAAAATTGATTAGATATTTAATCTAGCTGAGTAGGCAATCAGGGACTCGAAAAATAGCCATACCATAATTTCTTGCAGCAAATGGGGCCAATAACACCTATAATATATCTAAATATTTTCATTAAATTTTGTTAAATGTGATAAAATATAAATAAAATAAATAAAACCAATTGGTTATTTAATATTTACTCGATTTATTTAAGTACTTATGCTAACACTCTTCGTTCGCTATTCGTAAATAATACTATGCTCAGCGGCAAAATCGCGGGTGGGAGGAACTCTGGCTGGAAATTCACAGCGTTTCGCCAGAGGCCGAATAAATATAAATATTGTGCAGACCGATCTGCGGAAAGGTGGAATATTGCCGCAACTTAAATGCTAATTAAGGTGAGCTAGCCTTTAGCCACATGGAATGGTATAATGGTACCTTCAACTAAGGCGATGAGCGTGGGCAGTCCACATTTTAAGTTTTAGTCGCTGGCCTCGGCGAGCTAGACTAAGTTGCTAGTTGCTAGTACTAATACACATAGACCTAGAGCGAGATTAGACTAAGACTATCGCATGACGAGGTTGCAGCGTTGATCTCTCCCGTCGGATTTCTTTGGATCCCTCTTCAGATCGGAGGAGGTGACTTCTCCGCCAGCTTGCTGTGCAGGGTGGTAATATCATATATGACCATCAGATCCTTGTTCAATCCCTCGAAGACCTGCGCCACTCGCGGCTGCAGATTGTAGAAGAAGAGCGGCTGCTCCCTTAGCTTAAAGTCCATCACCATGGTGGAGATCACCTTGGCGGCCGTGAAATCCGCTCCATAGATGTGGGTGCAATCTATGACCACTGGTAAAGTGGACTTTTGGCCCTGCTTGTTAATCACCTTTCGCACAAACTCCATCGAGGGGAAGATCAGGCAGCGATCGGGGGTGAGCATCAGGTACTTCAGGCCAGAAGTTGTCTGTAATGAAAAAGAAGATTTATGAATATCATAAATATTATTTTGGATTTTACACTTGTACTTTTTTTAAATTTACAGATATTAAATTAGGTACAAAAATATTAGTAATAAAATTTTAACGGTACTTAGTATATTAAATTTTAATTTTACATATTTCAATTTTCCAAGAAGGATTTCCCTCGTTACTACTGTTTAACTTTAATTTTTTAACTGTTTTAAATGTATATATTAATTTTTATAATAAATTTATACAAAAACACCGGATTAATCGTAACTTTTTTGCTTTAAAATATTTTTAATAAATAACGTTTAACATATTTTGAGACTTAAGAGGTTTTAGAACCACTTAATAATAGTAAAGAAGTCTAAGGGAAAATAACTCTGACTAGCATCCCGAATTTTTAAGTTCTATAGCATACTTTTAGCCACTGAGGGTAATCTTTTCTTGTTATATTTTCAAGTTCCTAAAGACCACCTTATCTTAAGTTATGGATGACTCACCGCCAGAGTTTCGATGCGCAGCTTTGGCCTGGCTGCCTGATAGAGAATAAAGACCACGTTTATGCCGATGCCCACAAGGATGCCCAATTGCAGGGGCAGAACCAGACAGGCGAAAAAGGCACCCAAACCGGGTATGAGATCGGTTTCTGTGGGCAAAGAGAAAAATCACACACATATTAGTAACCAACTTCTCTTTCTTGTAAAACCCATCTATTTTTAACTCACTTTTACTATGCCACATGGGCTTGATCACTCGGTACTGGACCATGAAGATCACCGCCGCAATAATAATAGAGGCCAGTGCCGCCTTAGGAATGTAATAAAAGCAGGGCGTAAGATAGAGCAGGGCGATGATCACGATCACACCGGTGTAGAGATTGGACAGCTGGGTCCTCACTCCACTGGCGTTGAGGATGGCTCCCCTGGCGATGCCTCCGTTGCTCCGCAGACCCTGGACAAATGAGTTGGCCACATTGCAAACGCCGGAGGCTATCAACTCCTGAGTGGCGTCCGTGGGTTTTCCATCAGCTGAAAACAAACAGGGGGAATATTATAATTCACTCAAAAAATATATATAAAATACAAGTGCTTCCCCAAAGAATAAAGGAACCAAGGTATGACTCAAATTCAAATGACGAAACACCCAATTTCAAATTTGTACATCAATTATGATCCGTCTCAATTATAAAAGTGTGACTGCCGTCACGTGTTATTAATTTGTTTTCATTTTCTGGTGTTTTTCGGGGTCAATCCATATATTCGGATAATATAATGTGGATGAAAACAATCAGAAATGGTTTCAAAATATTATTAAAAAAATTAACCAATTTAAATCTATTAAGGAAATTAAATATTCCTTTAAAATATTTCCGAATACTACATTAGTTCTTAAAAAAGTTAAACACCCAAAAAGAAAAGAAACTAATTTAAAATCTTGTCACCCAATAAATTAAATCAAGAAATGATATAATATCACTAAAATTTATATGTTCTTAAAAAAAAACCATCGAAATCAATAAAGACCCCATTTAAATAAAATTCGCACATGCCGTTCAAAAAGTTGACACTAATCTTGAACTACAAGCTCTAAAAATTTAAACTTAAAAACACGTTGCTTTCGTCATTCTGATTTAAAAACAAGCTTTTAATGAAAACTAATTACGGATGATTCATTTCCTACTCGAATTTTTAAGATTCTTGAACTTGTTCGGGGAAGAACGAGATCAGAATCGTAAACTTATACATCTTTCTTGTCTAATAAACCACGAAATGAAATAAATAACTCACCAAAGGCTTGAACAACGGCCATTGTTTCCAGGAGGGCAATCAAGGGAACCACTATGAGACCAGATCCCAAGGTACTGACCATGTCCCAGAAGCTCTGGGCCTCTTGGATGATCTCCCCAGTGGTTCCATTCACAATAGCATCCATGTGGAAGGGAGGTGGCTGGAAGGAGGGCAATCCCTTGGGAACAAAACCTACGGTTTTCACCAGGTTCTCCTTTCCGTTGACAAACAACCAGTAGCCTAGTCCTGCGGTTCCACAAACCAACAAAGCATTTCGTGCTGTTCCAATGGTCCAAAATATTCCAGTCAACAGTTTTTGACTGGTGGTCTTTCCTTCCTTGGGACCCAAAGTGCAGCTAGCCAGGGCCCTCAAACTCAGCAATAGGGTAATACAGATGAGTCCCAGGATAAAATCCGGCCAGCTAATGTTGTGTATATCATTCACAATGCTAATCCACACTTGCAGGAAGGTATTGCCGCTGGTCTTGATGCCCAAAAAGTCCTTCATCTGCGAGCTGAAGATGATCAGGGAAACGGCACTGGTGAAGCCCGCTCCCACGGGTCCAGAAACGAAATCGATGAGGAATCCCAACCGGAAAACACCCATCAGGATCTCGATGAGTCCTGTGAGAAAGGTCAACAGGGTGGCCACTTGCCAACTTCCACCGGCGATTTGAAAGGATAACAGCGCTGAAATGGCCGTGGGTCCTATGGGCACATCCTTACTAGATCCTATGAAGATGTATATAAAGCAGCCCAGGAAACAGGCATACAATCCATATTGCAGATCCAATCCTGCTATTCCAGCGTAGGCCAAAGCCTGGGGAATCACCGTTAGAGCGACGGATACCCCAGCCACTATATCACCGAAAATATAATCCTTTTTGTACTGCGGCAGCCAGGTCAAGATGGGAAATCTCTTGTACAGGGTTTTCTTCCTAAAGATATTGGACCACAGATTTGAGCAGCAGCTCTGGGTGCCCTCCAAACAGCTCTCGTTGGGTCCCTGCTCCTCCTGAACTATACAGTCCCGCGAAGTGTGATATAGGGTATTGGTGGGTATATCCAAGGACACCTCGGATCCCCCGTTGAAACCACTGTTCGTGTGACCGTTGCTCATTTTTTAGATTTTTTTAAACTGTTTCTTAGGTTTGATTTTTTGTTTAACTGTAAGATTTCCTAAGTTTCTAAGGCTTCATGGCACTCTCACTCGGGAAACCGATACTCTGGATCTCTGAAAGCCGAACCGATCGCGTGGCCATCCACTGCGGGAATGATTTGAAGCCGCAGAAAGAGCAGCAGCACTACTAACAACCGCCCGCCTGCTGGGCACCGATTATATAGTAAATAGGCATCGCGGTTCGCGAAACGCTGGCAGCGCATATTCGAGACTATCCGCCGGCTTTCGTTATGTTATCTCCCACCTCTCGCCGATCCGATACGATCCGATCTTGGCACTCTCTACAGAAATCTTCCAGCTCCCGCTCTCGTTTGAAACCGGCTCTCTGGAGATCTCGGGGCGGGGGGCTTTTCCTCGTGTAAGTGTAAGCCCCGAAGAAATGGAAATGACGCAGACCACCGAGTGGGAGGAACATGGAACTTGGGACAGGCCCAGCAGGTAAGACAACACACCTCGTGGGAGGTGCAGATGGGCGCAGAAGGAACTGCGACTCCATTTATTGGGTATATATGTATATGCAGGGAACCCTATATCATGTGTTGATTATAATTAATCTTTATGTATTTCACAATACTATGGGGATCTACTTGTAATGGTGGGAAACCACCCATATAACGTATTTTCCACCTATAATCTTCCTATTAACATAACTCAATTGAGCCTATAAAAAAAATTTATGTATTTCTAACTAAATTTAGATTGTTACCTAAACCTACACATTCTGAATTTCATTAGGAAATTTCCTATTAAACAAAACCACCAATCCAATGTACACTTATTTCTTACTATAAGCTCAATATCAACAATAATTATTAAGCTCCCTTAGAAATTAGCTTTTATTGTATGTAAATACAGGGTATTCAAAGGTTTCTTTTATATTATTTTTGTGTAGGTATATTCAAATCTCATTCCAATAAAAACAAGTTAGCTCAAACAGTTTATCAATATATTTATTGACTGTTTAAGGCTACAAGTAATCCTTCGATAGAACATATTGAAAATATTATTTCGAGAATAAATCAAGTTGTCAATGTAATAATGTTGATGATCATTTCCGGGGTTTCTTTGAATTAAATAATATTTGTATGTTTATTGAAAACTTCATGGTAACACATAATTTTAAAGTACAGGGTACTCCTAAGTCTCTTTCCCCTTTCAGTTGTTTGCTTTAGAAAATCAACAATCTTTGTTGTGATTTTTCCGCACGTGCTGGCACCGAACATGGGAACCACAGCCAAATGCAATATTACGAGTCAAGAAATGTATTTTATTGCATGCTAATTGAACGGATTTTCACACCCTGCATTTCTTGTTAACCGATGGAGGCCAGGCTTAAAAGGTTTTTGTGCTCTGTTTTAATCTTCCCATGGGGTTTGCAGGTTTCTCAGGCTTTTTAGCACTTGCAATAAACAAATCAAGAAATCAAATATAAATATTAATGGGAATGGTAATGCCTCATTCGTCGCGGATGAGTTAAGCTATTTGTTTTAGAGGTAGCAATTTCTCCGCTCTACCGAAATTTTGCCCCAATTTTTTAACCCCTATATCTTTATGATCCGCCGACAATCGCGTGCTGCTACTGACGTCTATCGCTTGTCGTTTGTCGACACGGGAAATCAATCAGCCTTTTGGAAGACGGCGCATATAAATCAGTTTGAAGAGTGCGCTCCATAAATCAAGTATACGGCCGAGATAATGGCCGGAATTTGCCGGGACTCGAGAGTTCCACTCCGCCCTGAGTAGTTGAGATGTTTACTTTTTTGGCATCACTTCGAACCGGTTAGCCCGTCAATCTGTCCATCGAATAAATCATCTAGCAATTCCAAATGTCTGTACTTCGGGTAGTTGGAAACCCCTATAAAGAGCCTGGTTTCCGGACTGGTTTTTTATCAGCCAGACTCTTCTGGTTTTGGACCTCAATTCGATTTGCATGCAAAGAGCTTTTCTGCAGAATCCAAAACTGGGGGAATCCAAAGTTGGGGATTTTTTTCTCGGGATTTTCCTCGACCACACGCTCTGGCTGCATGCCATCTGCTGTCTGTCTATTTGTCTGGGTCAGTCTGGAAGCCCTCAAATTTAAGCCCGGCTTGGCCATTAATCACCCGCCTAACCAGTCATTTCCAAGCACAGTCTTCTCCCCAAATGGCAAACACGCGTCGAGCGGCTGATCGATGGCGCAGAATCGAAAATGAATAAGTTACAAACTGCGAGTCCAAACGGACTGATGAAAATCAAGACAACTTTTACATGAAGGCCGAAGATCAGGTGCCCTTCTCTGGGGATTTTCCCAGAGAAAAGTGTGACAACTATCAAGTTCCCTTCTCCTTTTAATGTCCCTTACACAATTCAGGTCAAAATAATAGTACTACAAGTTTAGTACAGATTTAAAAAGAGTATCATATCTTGTTACAATGAATGATCTACATTACAATAATATTTTGCTTCGTCATTTTCTTGATGATTTTTATAGACATACAGTCTAGCTTAATAAAAAACTGTTGCATAATGGTCGTATCTATAAAGATGAGGTAATAACTAAGTTCGCACTAGTTATTAACAATTAAAAGGCTTTAATTAAATGTAAATTGACGATTAAGGGTGAATGAAATATATCAAATCGAAAGGTATTAAAAATCTAACTACAATGTTTAGAATTTAATGATGGTACTACATTTTTAATGAAAAATCATTTCAGATAAAAACATTTGACAAAAAATGAATTTAATTTGTCTATCTAGGATGAATACTACATTTCATTTAAAGTTTTAAAAAAAGCGTACTTAATGAGCTACTAGATTTAATGGCACAGATATTCAAGAGATATTACTTTGACCACAATTGTACATCGATCTCCGTAACAATTGATCTCTGATCGACATTACTGGGATACTTTCGCGGCATTCGTTATGAATATTTATAGGTCGCTGACTTGTTTAGGAGATTGTCCGACTGATCGGCCATTATGTGTCGCAGTTGGGTATATGTAACACTTGTGCGGTCAATTTGCATTACTCATACGCAGCGTAAGCCGCCAGAGGGGAATGGGTGGGCACAAACACATTAGACAACAATTAAATGTACATAGCCAACCATTCCCCCCGCCAGCAAGTCAATTATAATTTTGAGTAAATTTAATTTGCTTTTAATTTCGCTGGCGTGCGGATAATTGTCTGTTTATCGTTGAGCTGTCTCCGCGTTGTTTTCTCTTCTATCATCTCGAAAAACAAGTAGATTTTGGGAGATTGGCTCTCTGGAAGGCATAAATCTTCTGTGCGCGTGGGCGGCCTACTTAAGGTGAGATTTAGATATATGTATATATTTTTAAAGGCCCTTGAGCATGGCCAGATTTCGGCAGTTATCTGGCCGGTGAAATCTCAAGGTGTGTGGCTGTTTTGATAAGGGAAACTCATCTCTCCTTGGGGTCACATGCCGGAAAGGCTTGTCCATTTGTATGCACTGCGTATGCCCCACAATCAAACATGGACAACACGTAGGGTAACTGTATTCGTACACAGAAAAAAATCTTTGAAATATGTGTTCCCAATGGATATTAAAATGTTATCATATGTTGAAGTACTAAAACTCCAACTAGTACTAAAACTCATAAAAATTTAGATATTTATAATATAAATCAATCAAAATATAAATTTTATATAATTATCTTTGTGTGAATTAAAATGCTATTCATAAAAGAACAAAGAATTTAATGATTTCTATATGAGTAATATGTTTCGACAACCCTAAAAAATTCTTAATATTGAAATAAAATATAATGGATTTATTCTAGACATTTTTAAACAAACTTTGCACTTTAAATAAATCCAAAGTTTCTCTCTGTGCATCGCTATCTTCGTATCTGAAACTGCATTGACAGGCGGGTAAACAAAGTTAAAGTTAAGCTCAAACAATTGCAATGAATGACAATCGCCGCTCAAATAAAACTGTTAATTGTGCATTCAGTTAATTGTATAAGATCCCAAACATTACGCAAGCCGATCAGTAGCCTCCCACCGCCTGCCCCGCCCACTGAGCCCCTGGAAAGCCCCCTCCCGCTGTGCAACGAACTGCATTGAGGCGTGTAAAGTACCCGACGTAAGGCTTCACGTGACTCAAACCCGTCGGTCGGGTATCCAAATTCATGATCTCTCTGAATTTACGATGCCGTCTGAGGTCAGCCTGTGCGGCCTTTGGAGAACTTCGGCTTAAGGAAGCTGGCGGAAACCGTGTCACGGACCAAGTTCAATGGCTACCAGAGATCGGAGGGGAATCCTGAAATCCGCCATAACGACATATCCATTTCCAAAGTGGTTTCATCTTCTCACGTGATTCGCGATCCGCTTTGATCCGGCGAGAAGTTAGGGGGAGTGAAAAGAGGTGGCGTAGCCTGTTTTTTTTTATCACGGCATTATTTGCAGTGGCAACGAAACTGAATTAATTTGGTCACATGACCGAGCCAGAAGAAAACAAAATGTAGATATATACCTACAGAAATAACAAAAACACATGAGCATCTGGCACTCGTATATTTTTATCCATAACACTCACTCATCAGGGGTACCCAAAAAAGATATGGCGAAAGTTGCTCGACTGTAGCTGAAAACTGGAAAAGGAATATCAAATAAACCAATACTAATATTTGTCCATAATGTTGCTCTGGGAATTGCCACTTTTTGATAAGAAATGTTTGATTTTCATATATTTGCACAGTTCTCAAGCAGAGGTAATAAAAATATTGCGGTGTAGCTAAAGAGATTTCATAAAATACATAAGAATTGAATTTCATAAGAACTAAAGTCTCACAGAAGCTATAATAATAATCTACATATGGGCACTTCCAAAATGTCGCTCGGGACATTTGCACACCTTTAAAGTTGAAAAAAAATTGTAAAACAATGGATTTTAATTTTAATTATGGGCTTTTCTTTTCACTCTTCCCAAGCTCTATTTTTGTTAAAAATCTTAATTTTGTAACACTTTTAGTTTTTAAGATATCGGTAAAAAACTGCCGTATTCGCTCGGGACAAAAATAGAAGTGGATTTTGGGGAAGTTCATACAACACCAGAAATTAGCGAATTCTGATGGAATATTTGAATGCGATTTTTTTTAGAATGTTGTTCAAACATGTCGCTGTGAAATGCTTTTGGTCTTACTAAAAAATTCTTTGCCGTTTTTTTTTAATGCAGGTTCAACCACATTCGCTCGGGACATGTCGCTCGGGACATTTTTTCCGACTGTTTTGTAAAGCGGATTTCTTTACCTCTATCTCTCAATTGCTGGATGTTTTGCTTTTAACTTAATAGTTTAGCATGTGAATGAAGCATTCAGTACAGAAAAATTTCACATATTAGCATTCCTATAGGATAAATTTACAACAGAAGACAGGTCCAAAAAATAACAAAAAAATAGCCAAAAACTGATTTTTGCGTATATTGGTGGGGTTTGTCATAAAAATTATCAAACTATACTCCAAATTTGTAGTTAAGCTCAGTATCCAACTAATTAGAAACTAATATCGGGGCAAAATCATGTGGAAATATGTTTTATTCAAGTTTCAAGGTTTTTGGCTTGGTGGACTTTTTTTTGGAAGTGCCCATATTTAATCTATTAAAAGCAAACTAATCTCAAACTAATTTCTAAGAATTTTTAAATTAATTTCATGGAGTAACCCTAACGGCGCTTATTTAAATGTAAAGCATATTCCAAATCATCAAAGTGGTCATTTCGAATGGCCAACGGGTCGTGTGACTTGTTTGTTGTTGCGGCTCCATTCAAAGCGGTTCGTTCTGCCAGACAAAACGCAAATCATCGGAATATTTGGTGGCTATCATTTGCCCCTCGGGGCAGCTAATAATCATTATGGGCACTACACCCACGGTAGCGTGCAATCCAATCCAGATTATAACCCATTGTATTTTAGAAAATTGAGAGGTGCTAACCGCCGGCGTTCGGGCCAATCAATTTATGGGCCCAAAGTGTCGTGCTAATGACTTGCCAACAAGCCGGGCAAATTAACAAATCAATTTGGGAGTGATAAACAAAAAGTCAAACAAGAGAAACAAAAAGCGGAAACAACAGAGTAAAAAGTTATCGGGTGACAAACAATTGACATTGCAATGGGAATGCTGAGGGAATGATAAAACAAATTAGCCGACAGACTCTATTAAAAGTTAAATGTGATGGACTGTTAATAGGTGGCATAGGCATATAGGTACAGGTATAAACCCCTGACGGAAGTCGGTTCAATGCACGCGAAACCAAAGCAAAGCGAGCAGGGCTAACATGGCGTATGCGCAATGCGGCTGCTTCACGTGACTCGTCGCTGGTGTCTGGGAATTCAAATGGGAACGAGATACCCCTTCGATCTCAGCTAGGGCTTGATTTGCATTTTTCATTCGACTTCTCTATTCAATTCAAATCCAGCAGGTGCCGGCCGTACTGAGATTTGTGGGATTATCTTCAGCTTTACGATGTTTTTGTTTAGCTGTTTGCGATAAAAAAAAAATAAAGCAGCAAGTGTCACGCAGAAGACCGGAGCTCCATTTCTGTTTGGTTTCGTTGGCCGGCTGGCAAACAGCGCAGAGTTTATCGCCCGTGGCCTAGGCAGAGACCTCGCAAATATGCGCCATTGGGCCCGGTCCAAATATTGGGTTTATGAATCCGATTCCATCCGATCTCATCACTGCTGCAAAACCGCATTCTTCAGTCATCCCTCTGGCATTTAGCAATGTAAATTTAGCGACTTCGAGGGGCTGCAAGATAGGGACTGACATATCTGATGCTTGATTAATGGACCATGATTTATGTATGAGTTAACTTGCCTAAGCGGGATTCTCCGGTTTTTCTTGTCACGAGGAACTGCACGGAGGAGCTGGAGATGTGCTATCTTATCTGCCCTCTTAGCTGCACTCGTTTCCGCAACAATGTTTGTCAAATAAGAGCGACCAGAGAGACATCTGTCGGGTACTTTATTTGTTGACCAGGCTAAGGCAGAATGCAAAACGGGCTGCAATCGCCCTGCAAATTGTACCCGTCCATGTTGATTTACGGCGCGGACGGGCTACCCAATCAAGAGGGGCCATAAATTCAGACAAGCCTCAAGTGGCACCTTTACGATGGCCCCAAACTTTCCAGAGTTGAGTACAATCAGCTTTTATTTGGACAAAGTTGTGGGATCTTTGACTTAAGAACTAGAAGAAAGGGGTTCGCCCTCGATGAACGCGCAACGTGTAGTACAGTGTGGAGTATATGTGATGGGGCCTAAAAGTGTGCTACAGTACAGTTGGATCATTCAATTTTATTTGAGCAAACTTTCCAATGAGTGTATAAGCGAAAAACAAACAAAAACCGACCCAAAACGAGTCGGTTGCAACACTATTTTTGTGACATGTGAGTGGTTGTATGAGTAGGCGGCGGGTGTTTTGGTCCCCTAATCCTCCAGCGTTACGTTGCGGAACAGATAGGACATGGACTCCTTGTTGTGAATGCGCCGAATGGCCTCAGCAATCAGAATGGAGATGTCGATCGTCTTGATCTTGTGGCACTGCAGCTTCTGGATCTCGTGTGGAATGGTATTGGTGACAACGATCTTAGGGTGGAATTTTAAAATGTAAAAGAAGGAAATTGGGTAACACAATCCGCAACCCACCTCGTCGATGGGCGACTCATCCAGTTGACGCGGTGCATCTGAGCTGAGCAGACCATGCGTGGCCAGCACGTAGATCTTGCAGGCTCCGTGCTCCTTTAGCATCTCAGCGGCGGCCACAAAGGCCTGGACATCGTCGATCAGGTCATCCTGGGAGGGTAAAAATATAAGAATTAATCAAGGCATTTAAATAGCAAGGGTATTACTTACCACCATGATGGCAATGCGACCGCTGACATCGCCCACAATGGTCAGTGGGGGCTTCACCTTGACAATGTGCTCCGGAACGCCCACCGAAACCGAGGTGGTCCGCTGGCGGTTGCTGCTGGTTGGGGCGTGTTGTGGAGTAGAGTTTCTAGTGGTTAGTGTGCGGCAGTTTCACGTGGTTCGGATTGGTGCAATGTGGTGCATTTGTGGTACATTGTGGTTGGTTTTGTCGAGGTGGTGGTTGTGCAGATTGGTTCAGATCGGATCGTAAAAAGAAAAGAATCATGTGTGGGTGGTGGTGGATTTTGGGGGAAGTTGGTGGAGTGGCGGCGTGGTTGGGTGGGTGGGGAAAAAGTACAAATGGCAGTTGATTAAAAATTATAATTAAACTGAAATGAAACAATAGTTAAAAATACGAACCTAGGCGTCGCTGGTAAGCACATTTCAACTGAATTTCCTAATAAATTGCTATACGCACTGCATAACACAAATAAAGAGAAATTTCGATTGTTTTTCTGTTTTCTGGATTTGAAATTTTGACAAGATAAATGCTCCAAATGCCCACCAAAAAAGTGTCGAGGTTTTGCGAGACACGTGCGGAGCGTAAAAATAAAATAAAAACATTTCCAAAACGCAAATTACGAAAACACTTGAAAAGTCAATAAAGCGTTCAAATAGGATATAGCGAAAATAGCTCAAAAATCTACAAAAAACATTGTGTCTGCCTGGGCTGTGAAGTACGAACAAAAGCCACTGACAGAAGCTGCCAATAATAATGTCATAGCGATTGTGATTTAATGAAAACGTGCATTAAAGGAAATTATATTTGGGGATCATATGTTGATTAAATTATACTCAAGCTTGAACTTGAAAACTTATAAAATTATCAGCAAAAAGTTTTAACAACTAGATTGGTTATCAAAATTAGTCGATTAGCATTACTGTTCAGATATTTTAAAAGCAGTTCTTAAAGATTATTTTAATCAAATCAAATTATGTTAATCATTTTAGGGACCAAGGTATATTTTCGATTAGATAAAAGGTTTTTTGATATTGTAAATAGTTATAAATAATACTGAGTAATTTATGTAGGAATATAAAAACCATTAAAAAAATGTTTTGAATATTTATTTTTAAAAATTTTAAATGCTATAAAGTTGAATATGCAATATATGGATGATATGGCTAAGGTCAGACTATACAATTTTTTTAACGAAATAAGAAATATATAGCATTCTAAATTTGTATACATTTTCTATAACAATTTAGATAATTTATCTGACCGAAGCCTTAGTCATTGAATGATTGTACATTTTGCTTAATGGGTGATTGACATTCCAGTGCTTTTTAATCAACGAAGAGTGCATTTAGCTTCAGTCATAGGAGAAAGCTTGAAAAACACAGAAACTAACCAGCTAAGCTAACAGCAAAATAAAACAGCTAACAAATCAACGGAAAACCTCACAAAGAAAAAACTTAATTTGGGGATCAGCGAGGCCCACTCTTAAAGACTGAGGATGTGCAACTCACCTGGTCGGGGGAGGTGAGTACCGGCCGTCGACCTCATCGGCATCCGTCTCCTTCTGCTCGCCATGGATGACGGCCAGGCCAAGACGCAGTCGCTCGGCATAGGAGTTGGCCTTCTTGGCGACACCCGGATTGCGGGCCACAATCACCGAGTTGCGATAGTCGGGAATCTAGGGGGTTATGATAACATCAAATGCATTTCTTAATTAAGATAGTCTACAGAAAAACCCACGCTCTCCTGAATATATTGGAGCAGGAAGGGCGAGGCCCTCAGATTGTCCACGGGTATGTCGAAGAAGCCCTGGATCTCCTTCTGGTGCAGATCCATGGTGATGATGTGAGTGAGGCCCGAGGTGCACATCATCTTGGCCAGCAGCTTGGACACAATGCAGCCGCGCTTGCGCATCTTGCACTGTTTGGAATAGGGCAAGTATGGAATCACACCCACAATCGAACGGGCCGAGGAGGTCTTGCAGGCGTAGGCCATGATCAGCAGCTCCATGATGTTGTTGTTGGCATCTCTGTGGGATTAGGATAAGGATTATAGTTAATAAATATTTTTAGGAAATTTAGAGAGATATCCACTCACTTGGTGCCCGTTTGTATGATATAAATATCCTTGCCCCTCACGGAATCACTTATCTCCACAATGGTCTCCCTGTTGGACTTGTGGAACACCGAGCAGCCGCCATTCTTGATGCCCATCCGCTCGGCCACCATGTTGGCCAGATCCGGATGCGAGTTGCCATTGATGATGACAATGTCCGAGGTGGAAGTGTTGTCCATGTCGCTCCTGCAACGCTTTGGTGGCCGTACGCTGCCTAATCTGTAAGGGAATAACCAGATTAGTAAGGGTTATTATAATTTTTAAGGAGAAAGTATAACGAAACCATAACGAGACATTAACTGGGTTTAAAGACATTAAAGCTACCTGCGTTTGGACATGCTGCCTAGAGTTTTCTGGTGTTAAGGGTTACGGCTTTCGGGGGTTAAGCAAATGGGCTGGCATAATCGTTAAAGTAACACACACGCAGTCGTTTCGGTTCCCACGTTGCGATGTGCTACCGTATCGATTAGCCCCAGTGAACCAAAAAACCAAATAACCCAGTAGCGAACGCAATTAGTCCTGCCTCTCCTGAACTCGATTGCCCAGCTCTGGAAACTGCTCTCTGTGGCTGCGGAGGAGCAGGTGGCCAGAGACAAAACCACCGGAAGGAAACCACTGCGAATTATCGACCAAACAGTGGAGGGCGACACACGTGAGTGGCGTGGCAACGTCAAAGTGCCAACATGCGAAGAATCACGGTTCCGGAATCCGCAGCCCGGCAGCCCGGAATCCACCGATTCCAAGGCAGTCGCGTCTGATGAGCGGGGTGCGGAGGAGCTGCTGCTGCCCAGGATTAGCAGATAGAGATCGACTTTCAGCGAACCCCAAGACTTCGCACGCGACTTGGGACTCCTTGGGAGCCCACTTCACTCGGGAAAAAGTGAAAGGCCAAGAGGCGTTGGCTAATTGAATTTCTATTTTCGATCCTGCCCCAAAAGGAAAGCAGCCTCAAAGCAAAAAGAGAAGTTTATTGGCTGAGGCAACGGAGGAATGGGTGACTCAGGTGAGTGAAATGGCCATAAATGTGCGCCAGCGATAAGGATGTGAAGGGGAATCCCCAGCGAAACGAAGAATAAATACACTAATGTTTCTAAAAATGGTATAGGAAAATATTTGATAGAAATAAAAGAAATATTTGTGTAAGTTAAATATAGGTATGGATTGAAATACAATTTTAATCTCAAATGTTCCTAAAACAAAAAAGAAGTTCTTAGAAATTACACAGAATAAAATTGACAAAAGATTAATTTGATGTGTGCAGGTTAATTCAATATTTTTTCAAAGATCAAGTTATTCAAATCATTTTGATATGAATGCAGATTATGATTATCTTATTTATATTTATTCAAAAAATACTACATTTGGTATTTTAAAACAATATGTTTATACCTTTTATGAAATGGTAAAATATCAAGTTGACATGTTTGAACCATAAATTTGACATTAATAAGGTAGAAATGACCCTATTTCATATCGATTTTTTTTATGAAATAAATTTTCAGAACCAACTAATTTTTTAATAAAAGACCAACTATAATAGGGGTGTGTTAGATTCCATATGGAAAAATCCATACTAAAAGTCTAAAAGAACTAAAGGTAATACAAATTTAAATATATTCCTCATTCCCACGAAACTTCAAAAAACCCTTTCTAAGAGTATAAATAAAGCTATTTCAAGACCTATCAAGCCTCGAGACATTCACCTCCGGCTTTCAACTCAGGATTGGCTGGGGATAGGGTTTGGGTTTTTCGGGGGCCAACGCAACCGCGAGGCGACTATTCAATTTTAGACATTTGACGTCTCGAGTTGCTGGCGAGGCTCAGCCCAAAAAGGCGTTGGCAGGTGCAGCGAGTGCAGTGGAAACTTGCGGCACGCATATGTGGCACAAGGAAGCACCAAGAAAGTCGGGAGGATGAGGATGCCTGGGTTTAAAGATAGCACCTGGGTGGTGGCATTGGGAGGATTAGAAAGTTATGACAGCCCGGGGCAGAGGCAGAAAGCTCGAAGGATTAGGGCCACTCCAGGCGGCTCAGTGGCATTAGAAGAACCTAGATTTTTGCCAGAGAAAGACGCATCAGCGGAAAAGAGCCATCATGTTGGGAATAGCCTGCGATCCGCTCCAGCATACGAGCATGTACGAGCGCGGCTCAGATGGTATTAAAAAGATCTCTCAAATATTTCATATACAGATTACAAATTAAGAGATAGTCAATTTAGATTGCAAAGTCTAAGATCAAGAACTAATTCGTATATTTGGAAATATACTATCAGTTTGACTCTTGATTCTTATCATCTAATTGGTTGTACAATACTTTCTTAATCTTTAAAGAAGAAAGTTTATAGGAAATTCCTCTAAGCTAATCCTTTTCATCTGATTAATCCTTTCAGATAGCGAAGACAGCGATGGAGAAGGTGGTCTGGGCAACGTTTCCCGCGTGATTATCCGTCCGCCGGGTCAAAGTGGCAAGGCCAAGAGGGGTCACCTCTGTTTCGATGCTGCCTTCGAGACGGGTAACCTCGGAAAAGCGGAGCTGGTGGGCGAATTCGAGTACGATTTGTTCCTTCGGCCGGATACCTGCAATCCGCGCTTTCGCTTCTGGTTCAACTTCACGGTGGACAATGTGAAGCAGGATCAGCGAGTGCTCTTCCACATTGTGAACATCAGCAAGAGCCGGAATCTCTTCTCCTCGGGACTGACGCCTTTGGTCAAGAGTTCCAGTCGACCCAAATGGCAGAGGCTGTCCAAGCGTCAGGTGTTCTTCTACCGATCGGCGATGCACCAGGGTCATTATGTCCTCAGTTTCGCCTTTATTTTCGACAAGGAGGAGGATGTCTACCAGTTTGCCCTGGCCTGGCCATATAGCTACTCCCGTTTGCAGTCGTATTTGAATGTGATTGATGCAAGGCAGGGAGCGGATAAGCGGTTCACGCGATGTGTCCTCATCAAGTCGTTGGTAAGTTCTGAGATTAACTCACTTGAGGGGTTTTACAAAAGTTTCCTTGCTCTATAATCCAGCAAAATCGCAATGTGGACCTGCTGACCATCGACCATGTGACCGCCAAACAACGCTCTACGAATCGCCTGGATCGCAGCTTCATCCGTGTGATTGTGATCCTCTGCAGAACGCATTCCAGCGAAGCTCCAGCCTCTCATGTTTGCCAGGGTCTCATCGAATTCCTCGTGGGCAATCATCCCATCGCCGGCGTTCTGCGGGATAACTTTGTCTTTAAGATTGTGCCGATGGTGAATCCGGATGGGGTGTTCCTGGGCAACAATCGCTGCAATCTGATGGGCCAGGACATGAATCGCAATTGGCACATTGGATCGGAGTTTACGCAGCCAGAATTGCATGCGGTGAAGGGCATGCTGAAGGAGTTGGATAATTCAGATGTGAGTAGAATGTTTATAGGGGGTGAACTTTTACATAATCATGTGATACTGATACTGGCTCTATTAAAATTTATTCTTGTCAAATCTCAGTTAAAAGCTTTAAGATATGATTGAATATTTAATCATACCATGACATTTATTATTTATTATCAAAATAATAGGTAGGTATTTAGGAATGTTAGACATTTAAAAGGAAATGTAGATACTTTTTATTATCAATTTGATAGGTGATTCTTCTATTAGATTTTAATACCTCAAAATAAAATTTCTTGAAATCCACCATCACATAGTTATCATTGTACTCACTAGATCCATAATCTTTCCATCTAAAACTTACTTTTCCTTTAAAATGGAATCGGACTTGTCCAAATCTCAGTTAAAAGCTTTAAGATTTGATAGAATATTTAATCATAGCATGAAATTTATTATTTATTATCAAAATAATAGGTAGGTATTTAGCAATGTTAGACATTTATAAGAAAAGATAGATACTTTTTATTATCAATTTGACAGGTGAATCTTCTAATAGATTTTTATAACTACCAGTATCACATGGTTATCATAGTACTCACTAGATCCACAATCTCTCCATCTAAAACATCCTTTTCAGACCTATCAGATTGACTTTGTGATCGATCTGCACGCCAATAGCAGCATGCATGGTTGTTTTATCTACGGAAACACCTACGAGGATGTCTACAGATACGAGAGGCACCTGGTTTTCCCTCGGCTCTTCGCCAGCAATGCTCCGGATTATGTGGCGGATCACACGATGTTCAATGCGGATGAGAGGAAGGCGGGCAGCATGCGGAGATTCAGTTGCGAGAGACTCAGTGATACGGTGAATGCCTACACTCTGGAGGTCTCGATGGCGGGTCACTACCTCAAGGATGGCAAGACCATCTCGCTGTACAACGAAGATGGATGTGAGTAGAATCCAAGGGATTATATTTATCAGTAGGGTTACTAATAAAACATCTGTAACGCCCAGATTACCGGGTGGGCAGAAACTTGGCCAGAACCCTTCTACAATACTATAGATTTATCAACATCCTGCCCATGCCGATCATCACAGAGGTTCGGGGCAAAAGGCGGGGGCGAAACCGCCATGCCCACCACTCAAGATCCCGTTCGAAGACCCGCTACGAGGTGAAGCCCCGACCCAAGACCCCCAGATGCCACGCCCCCATTGCCTACACCAATCTCAGTATATGCTATGATTCGGGAGGAGGTGGATCCTCGGACGAGGGTGGCTTCTCACCCACTCGTCCCTTGGCCCCCGGAAGCAGTTGCTTCAGTGGCTATCGAAATTACCGGAGGGCGGCAACCGCAAGTTGCTCTCAACACACCGGAAACGATCAGTATTCCCCCTTCGCATTGGGAGCCCTGAAAACGGGCAGTGATCATGGCGGAGGAGTTGTGGGTGGTGGTTCCAAGGGCAAGAGATCGGCGGGGGTCACCATAGAAGTTCCTTTGCCCGTCAATGTGCCGCCCAAACCATATCTATCCATCATCGATTTGAATCAACTGACCCGGGGCAGTCTCAAACTAAAGTCCAATAGCTTTGATGCCGCAGACAGGAGATAGGATCGATGATATAATGATATAATATGGAAAGGATCCGAGCAGAGTAATGGGTTGTTCTAGATATAATCAAGTCTTTTCTACGCTTCTTGCTTGTTTTTCTAAATAAAAAGTTATCTATGAATCCAAAATATTAATCGCATTTATTACTAACAATATTTTATTTTAATCTCCAGTTACAATTATTTAATGCAAATACTTGAGTAGTCAGCAAACACAGAATATAGTAAACAATATTTTGATTGTTTACTGAAAGATCGGCTTTATCAAAGAACCATGAATAGTATAAACTAAACAAGTTATTTGATTCTTTTTACTACTATTTAAACAGAATTCCCAGAGCAATGGATTTTGTTTATCAATAAGAAGCCATAATATATGACTAATTTGAGACTAATTTATGTGCATAAAGTTAGCAATGCAACTTTTGAAAATGCAAATTTTTTTCTATCGACAATTTGCCGTTATTTATCCGTAAATTATTCGTGAAAGAAAAAAATTTGCCGCTCAATTATTTTTAAAATTATGAGATGTTCTGCTAAGTTGATATCAACTTAGCAGAACACCCCACTAAAGTTCAAAATTTCCAAAATCTTTTCTAATGGGAATTTGCCGTTATTTATCCGTAAACGATTCGCGAAAGAAAAAATTTTGTTGCTCCTGTTTTAACATTTTTTTTTTTAAAACACATAGTTGTTCTGCTAAGTTGATATCAACAAATGTTAAAACAAGAGCAACAAAATTTTTTCTTTCGCGAATCGTTTACGGATAAATAACGGCAAATTCCCATTAGAAAAGATTTTGGAAATTTTGAACTTTAGTGGGGGTGTTCTGCTAAGTTGATATCAACTTAGCAGAACATCTCATAATTTTAAAAATAATTGAGCGGCAAATTTTTTTCTTTCACGAATAATTTACGGATAAATAACGGCAAATTGTCGATAGAAAAAAATTTGCATTTTCAAAAGTTGCATTGCTAACTTTATGCACATGACTAATTTGAAGGATTTATAAGGTTTTAAGGACCAATATTTTAGGGTATTGGTATCCCTATGAAAGTATAAGGTTTCTGTTGGTTAATACTCATTTGATAAGAAAATTTAATTATACTGGTAAGGTACTAATACTTTAAAAAGTCTTAGTTTTAAGATCCCGGTTTCCCAATCCAATCAGAAAGAGCTCAAAACCCCTCTCCTTTGTGTCCTTCTTCTAAACAAACAGTTAGGCGAGCACTTATCACTCGGAAAAACGAAGGGCAACAAGTCGGGCATTTTTGAGTGATATGGCTTATCTCCGCCAGGTTGTTGTTGTTTTTTAGCTGTTTATTTGGCTCGCAACCAGAAAGTGAAAAATAATATAATATGCTCAATTGGCGACCTGGGGATGGGGCTTTTTATCACACTATTCAGATGCGGTTATTTACAGTTATTTACAGGCGAACAAAGAACTGTAAGTGCGAGTAGGTGTATTCAAAACTGTTACTCGTAGCGCACGTGAGTGTGAGTGAAAGTCCTCCGGAGACAATCACTCATCACTAATTAGATGGATTTGCAGGCACTTTTATCTTATCTTTTATCAAACACGATATTACTATAACCTCCTTGGGGATATCAAGTGGGGAACTGCAGTATATATACAGACTACACTCACGCAGGAAAAACACGCGCGAAAAGTGTTGATAAGAGCACAACCCGGGGGCGACTGAACAAAAAGCGAGCTTCTCGACTGATTAACGCCTTCAATTAACACGGAATTGGATCCGGATCGGAATGGAATCAATAAAGAAAAAACTCACTTCTTTTTCTTATAAATAAAAGCGAATGACTGTGGGCAGCGTGGAGCGAAAAAAGCGAGGGCTGCGCGGCGTTGCCAGATCGCTGGAGTGAGGAGGTGGTGGTGGCAAACAGCTGTTGCCGTTTTTAATGGAAACGAGCAAGCAACTGTACAAATTTGGGGTAACTTCGTGGTTATTTTCAAGTAACTAGTGCTAAATTAGTTTTATTTCAAGTTTTAGGTATGCAACTCTCTTAGTTAGTAACTATTTTTCGGTTTAGTGGGGGCGTACAAACATGAGAACATGCAGAGCACAACAAAGTGCAATTAAGAGAGCATCTCTCTCTTAAACCTCTGTATTTGTGAAAGAGTGAAAAAAAACACGGGAAAAAAATAGTATAGACAATAAATATAGCAGTAAAATAGCGAAGAATAAAAACACGAAAAATGTTATATTAAATATATTATAATGCTCTTAAATAACAATAAAATAAAAATAATAATAAATGCAAAGTGCATAATAAAAGGAATTAAAATTTTTTTCAGTGTACCCACTCTCTTATTGAGCGCAGTGTAGAAAGAGAGAGAGCTGCCACAGAAAGTGGAGAACAAAACAAAGATAGTGAGAGATGAAGTAACGAAAACGAGAACGGCAAAAACAACAACAAAAGCGAGGCTAAAAATAAATAAGCAAACACAAATTCCAGTACAAAAAAAAGGGGGTGAGGATTTTGCTCTTGTTAGCACGCAATTGATAAAAATTGGTTAGACAAACAGAACATGTAATTGAAATCCATCAAAACCTGGCTATAATCTTGGTGGGCACTGGAAAAAGAAACAGGGAAAATGGAAAAAACGGATTAAAAACAAAGGTAGAGGGAAATGGGGAAATTGCGGGGGAATATGGGCGAAAATTCACACAAACAGCGGGACACTAATTAAGTTAGACATGGAAAACACACAGAAATCATAGAAAAAAGCGAGAAAATGCCGCTTTAAAGTTTACTTGTTCCGCTGCAGCAGCATGTTGTAGTTATTTAGTAGGTTTTACTGTATTTTTCGTCGATTATTGAGTTAATTCTTCGTTTTAGCCCAAAATTATCCTGTTTCTAACAGTTTTTAACCGGCAAAAAAAAGTTAGGAACTTTTACAGAAAGAGAGGCACAGTCACACACTCGCTATCAATAAACACTATGAATAATTAGTAATTACTCTTTTTTGCACGACACTGCTATATTTAATTTTTACTTTTCCAAAAACTCGGAGAAAAATCCTCGCACTTTTTCGAACAGCTGTTGAATCGATGTTTTTTTCTATGTATCGATGGTCGTCAGTTTACCTTAGTGATGGCCTCACGACCAGCGCGATAGTATCGAATACACCAGAATAGTACCCGTTATATCTGATTTCAAATAATTAAATAACTGAAAAGTATGAAATTATTATTAATTTATTCGATAAATGTAAGTTATATATTAAAAATCAAAAGGAATTTTAAAAGTTTACAGCTAATTTATTTACACAATAGATTCTTAGGAAAAGGTAAGTTATAACATTACAAGTATTTCGTCAGTACTTTAATATCATATATCGTATCTTAAACTTAAATAAATTAAACCATGGTGTATTTATTTAGGTCCTATTATCATGTGTGAATTTTTAGGTGCCGCTTAAGACTTGAGGACTGATTAAAACTTGACGTACAGAGGGAACACTTGTAGGGTCGTTCTCCCGTGTGGAGTAGTTGGTGTCGAAGGAGATTTCCGCGATGAGAAAAATATTTGGAGCACTGGGAACACTGGATTGGTTGTTGTGCAGAGTGCACTTGCAAATGTTTCTTCAGGGTTTTCTTATTGAAGAAGATCTTTGAGCAGTGAGTACACTCGAAGGATTTTTCCACATTTACATTACGCAAATGCCTCTGAAGACTAGCCTTCTGGAGAAAGGCCTTCGAGCAGTGGTCACACTTGAAGGGTAGTACTCCTGCGTGGGTTCTCTGGTGATTCTGAAGACTCGAAGGTCGTAAAAAGGACATTGGACACTGATGACACTTGTGGGCTTTTTCTCTTGTGTGGACTACCAGGTGACTCTGCAAACCACAAGCCTTTGGAAAAGTCTGGGGACAGTGGAGGCACTTATGTTCCGTTGTAGTTTTATCCTTTGTCCTATTATCAGAAGTAGGAACGTCATCATCTGACGTTAAGTAATCTGTATCATCATCATCAAGCTGTAAAAGGTTTTCCTTTCCACGCAAATCCTTTTTTAATCGACTGTAGAACTGGGAGCTCCTTTCGTAAGTTTTCTTGATCTCGAATGCATTTTTAGCATCCTGAAGGCAAATGGAGCAAATGGTTTCGGGAAACAGGTCTCCTTTCTCTACTTTATAGCCTGTGCTTTCAGAAATCATGGAGGCAATGGAGATTCCCGGTTCCAGTTCTTTAAATATGTTGACCATGACCATGTTATTGGTACAGACCAAGCAAACCCGGCATAAAGACGACGTCATCATTCTGAAATTAATAAATAATTTAACTACTTTGAAGTATAACTTAAATGCCCTTTCTTACAATAATGTTTATGAACAGAAGAGGGATATATTTTAAGATAAATTGGTTTGTTTTGTTTACTTTCTCGGTATTAGAGATGCTACAAAAGCGGCGGTATTATCAATCTGGTTGGGTGAGTAACTCCACTAACGAAAAAGACGTCAGTGCAGGGGTTGTGTCCTCGCTAAGTGCACTGTGGAAAAACAAACTAAACTACATTTATATTGAATACAAGGGATAATATTTTTTGTGCATAATTTATGTTTTATTGTATGTTTTTCTTTCCTTTATTAGCGATTTGTATCTTGTCAGTATAAATTTAAAAAATAAAAAATGTAAAAGCATTCATAGGTCTTAAAAACAAAGCAAACTTAATTTACATAGATCCTAATGTAGGATCTAATTAATCTGTGTGGATTTTCAAGTGCCTCTTAAGACTGGACGACTGGTTAAAACTCGACGAGCAATGGGTGCATTCATAGGGTCGTTCTCCCGTGTGGGTTAGTCTATGACGATGGAGACTAGTTGGGTGCTTAAAGAACTTGGAGCACTGGGGACACTGAAAGGGTTTTTCTTCCGTGTGCGATCGCATATGGTTTTCCAAACATTGTTTTGTAAAGAAGGTCTTCTCACAGTGGGTACACTTGAAGGACTTTTCCCCCGATATTTTTCGCAAGTGAGACTGGTAGTTTGAGTTCTGAGTAAAGGTCCTCGAGCAGTGGTCGCATTTAAAGGGTCTCACTCCTGCGTGGGTTTTCAGGTGACTGTTGAGGTTCGAAGAACTATTGAAAGTCATTGGGCAGAGATAACACTTGTAGGGTCTTTCACCCGTGTGAATTCTCACGTGTCTCTGCAGAGCACAGGCCCTGGGAAAAGCCTTGGGACAATAGGAGCACTTGTGACGATTTTCCTTGATGCTTTTCTCCTTCGTCCCATTGTCGGCAGCAGGTGGTGACTTCTTTACAGCAGGTACAGTAGGTAGCACCATTTCATTAGCAGGTACTTTATTTTCCTCCTCTTCAGAGTCCTCATCTGATGGCAAGTAATCGGAATCATCGTCGTCGTCTATCTCTAGAATGTTTTCGTTGCCTCTCAAATCCTTTTCCTTGTACATATCCATTCCCTGCGAATCCTCATCCCCCTGTTTGTACAACAGAGAGCTCCTTTCGTAGGTTTTCTTAATCTCAAAAGCATTTTTTGTATCCTCCAGGCAGATGTCGCAAATGGTTTCGGGATAGAGGTCTCCTTTCTCAACTTTACAGCCTGTGCAGTCAGCGAGCATAGTAGCAATGGAGATTCCCAGTTCGAATTCTTCAAATATATTCACCATGACCGCGTTCTTGGAGTAGCTCAAGCACACCCTGCATAAGGACGACTCCATTCTGATATTAAAAAATATTGTAATTGATCCTAACTACAACTCAATTTCAATTTCAAACGGTGGTGTTATGGCCAAAAATCGTCTGGTTTGTTTTGTTTACACCTGCCTATTATAGATGACAAAAATTCAATTCAAGACTAAAAAAGGGATGATTTTAGGTACATACTTCTCGCACATTTAACCACTCTGTGTGGGAGTATAACTCCGCTTAGGAAACACCTGATTGGGTGGGTGTATTCACTAAATGCACAGTGGTAATTATTTTTATTATTTTTAAATTGTGTTTATTATTAATATTAAATTGTATATTATTTTTATAAATTATATAGGTATGTTCTATGTTTGGTACCAAACACTCCCGTGAATTTTCTATAACGCGCTAATGTTGACTGATAACCTACCGTGACACTTTGCTATTTTTGGGGAACGCCGAATCCGGCTTGTCTTTGTTTCCATCGGCTGATATTGATATGAATAATACTATATGCTATATATTCCACGATTGCAGAGCTTAAATATATGCTCTTCTCCTAGTAAGAATTCAGTCCAATTAGTAGTCGTCGGTAGTACAGATCGTAAATTCTATAAAATGAAATACGATTTTTTAACGGTTTCTCTGTCGATTTCGGTCCTGGCCGGCTTATCTATCGTAAACGGTGCCAACTTTCGGCAGGAGTTGCCCAATCAAAACCTCGAAAACAAAACTCTTGAATATTGTTTTCCGGTTATCAAGCCTTTCCTCGATCATTTTGTGGAGCTTAAATCCGAGGTTGCTACCGACAATGAACTTAACAAAAAAATAATTGCTTTAAAGGATATTATTAAAGACCTTGAGAGTAAATTGACCATTGCCGAGGTGCAACTCAAATCCAAAGACGAGGCAATTATCGCAAAAAACGATTTAATTAAAATAAAAGATGAATTGCAAAATGCTAACTGTCAAATAAAACTTAACACAAAAGACAATGAAATACATGAGAAAAGTGAACAAAACAATTATAAAGACAGCCTAATAAAAATAAAAGATGAACAAATCTCGAATCTGAAGGAACAAATAAAATGCAAAGAAGATCTTTTAAAATTTAAAAATAAAGAAGTGGATGAAAAATCTGAGGAACTCAAAGTTAAAGACGAACTTATAAAAGTAAAAGACAAAGATATCGTAGATAAAAGCGCACAGATAAAAATCAAAAGTGATGAAATAACGGAACTGAATAATCAAATTTTGGCCAAAAATAATGAAATTGATACCCTAAACAATAAGATCAAATCCGATTCCGAAAAACTAACTGAAAAGGATAGTCAACTTTTAATTTGCACTCCAAGAAAAAGTTGCCCAAAGGGCCAACCAAATGATCTGTTTAAAATAAAATTATCCGGAATGGAATTTTTTAAGGCTCCATGTAATTCAAGTGGTTGGATGACTATACAAAGACGTCAAGATGGATCGGAGGACTTTGCAAGGAATTATACGGATTATAGGCATGGATTTGGAAATTTAAGAGGAGAATTTTTCATAGGACTAGAGAAACTACATCAGTTGACTAAGGATACAGCACACGAACTCTTCATTAAACTTGGGAAGGTTGATGGATCCACGAGCTATGCGCATTACGATAACTTTCAAATCGACAGTGAGCAGGAAACTTATAAGCTGAAATCTGTTGGGGGTTATTCTGGAAACGCTGGAGATCCCCTAAGTAAGCAGGTTGGATCAAAGTTCAGCACAGTTGATATGGACTTTAAAGATGGATGCACTATACATAACACGGGTGGTTGGTGGCATTCATCATGCGCATACGCAAGGTACATTACCTTAATCTAATAAAAACGAATTTAAACCACACATTAATTAATTAATTTATATTGTAGCGTGCTTAATGGAAAATACTATGAGAATGGAACTGGCATAGAATACACAGGAATTCGATGGACCACTTGGGAAACCGAGGATACGTTTACTCTTACCTTTACCGAAATGATGATAAGGCCAAATCCCGATTTGATTTAGTTTGCAAATAGTATGAAATACAAAGTAATAAGTAATAATTAATAATACTTAAGGTAACGATTCATTGTATCCAACTTATTAAAACTTGGCACAAAATAAACAACGTCAAAATACATTAAGTAAACTATTGCTAAATTATTTGCATACCCTTGCAGAGGTTATTCATATTTCAGTTAGAGGTTTGCAACGCAGAGAGTGAGACGTTTCCGTCTTGATCAACATTATTACTATATCATATAATGGAATAATCGGAAGAATACATATACACCCAAAAAAAAGTAGTCATCAATATGCCCCTATTTAGGTGTCAATGTGACACTATTGAGTGGAAAAAAATCTTTGATCCGAACTTCATTAAATTGACCCTATTTTGGTGTCACTTTAATACTTTCCTCAAGAGAGATCCCACTTTGAAATCAGTGGCATAAAATCCGTTAAATATGGGGCTTTCTGAGAAAAATATAATGGTATTTTTGCAGACTGGCCCTTTGGACGAAATACTACTTTTAGACTTTAAAAACGCTATCTCTTGGTCATCTACGGTCTAGTAAAATCCATTATTTTTCTCGTAATCGGCCATGGAAAGACAGATTTTTATTCTTTTGAACCCTGCCGATTGTGTCTTTCGTTCGCAGGTTAAAAATGATTTTGTGTTTTCTTTTCAGCGCGACTATACGGCGAAAGAGTGGTAACATTGACAAAATAGGTATGAGGTAAAATATTGGAAGCAAGGGGCTTTGTAATCAATGTGGTACTGTCCACATAGAAAATAAATAAAAAGAGACCCCCTCCGGGGGTCCGGGTTGATATGGAACGTCCCATATATGCATTTTAAAAACTTTTTAATTAGCTTTTTTTAACTTTTAATTATTGGGATCGATGTGAACCTAGTTTTATCAAAATGACACTATTTTAGTGTCAAATACGATTTATCTGAAAACGCGGTGTACTTTTGACACTCATTTGGGAGCAAATTGACCCCAAAAATTTGACCCTAGGGGCAGTGTCATTTTTACACCACATGAACTCCTCATCCAGCTGGGCAAAATCGATGGAATACGTTGGAAAAAAATTACTGGGGTTCTCTTACCCGTTCTGAAATGATGATAAGGCCGAAACCTCAATAAGCTTTAAATGTAAATTAAACAAAGCTATGATTTATTTTGCAAAAATTATAAAATACAAAAAGTACAACTTTTAAATAAACAAATACCTTTTAAAATTATTTTTTAACACAAGTAATTAGGGTGAAACAGCTTTAGAAAAAAACCATTCATTTCGTTAGAAACAATAGAAAATCATTTAGTCACAGTTATTAGACCAAGACGAATTCTTTGAGTTACTGGACAGGTGTTCCTTCCCCCAGAAGATCAGTTTACCCCGAAAGACGTCCACGTCATGGCTGTGACACCTTGGTCGCTGATTCTACTGCTCCTACTTTTCGGTTGTCCCTGTTTCAAGGCTCTCGATGAGAAGCGGATTCGGGGAGTGCTGAGCTTGGAACGCGATCTCCTGCAGACTCTTCGTGAATATGCCGAAAAGCTGGAGGCGAAGATCAGTTTGATAAACAAGTAAGTTATCAAACAGTCATATACTATCTGATAGAGGTTTGAACCTGCCCGTTTTCTTAGTTCCTTGGAAGAGTACATGGACGAGATAGAGGAGGCCAATGAGAACCCAGAGGAGTATCTCTCCAATCCGCTGAACGCCTTCCGATTGATCAGGCACATGCACCAGGATTGGGTCGGTTGGCAAGTGTACATGGAGCAGCCAGTGGCGCCCGAACAGGTGGCCAAGTTGGAGCGACTACTGCCGAAGCTTCCCCAAAAGGAGGCCTTCAAGAAGGCGGCCAAGGATGTGCATAGTTTAACCCGATTCTACGGCTATGAACCCATTGATCTGGTGGCCAAAAATGAGCGAAAGAGGTGGTATATTCGTCGTCCCTGTAGTAAGTTTTAATATTTTCTTATCGTTTAGTCCGCTTCATCTTTCCCCTCTGGACTGCTATCACTTGGGCATGGAACTCTACGAGGATCACGATTATCTGGGAGCAGCCAAGTGGCTTCAAGTGGCTGCCCAGAACTTCACACGCTCGAGGTACAGTGATCTCTTTAGTATCCTGGGAGCACCTCGTTGGCAGGTCTTTCGAGATTTGGCCAGAGCCCTACATAAACTGAGTAAGCTTATTATACTTACTAATACTGCACTAATAATAATATATATAATATAAACCCAACAGATCGCAAGTCTGCTTATGGTGCCTATGAATCGGCCCTTCGTTTGAACTCCCAGAATGTCCATCTCATGCAGGAAGTTGGCCAAATGGAGCTCCTCAGTCTGCGGGATCCCATGGAACCCATACTGGATCCTGAACCGAAACCCAGCTTTCTGGAAAGGAATTGTCGAGGAGATATCCCTCCGCATCAGGGTCGTTTGAAGTGCGAGCTTAATACCTGGGTCCATATGTTCCTGGAATTGGCTCCCTTAAAGTTCGAGGAGCTAATCAATGATCCCTATACCATTGTTTTTCCGGGAAGCATCTCAGAGAACGAGATAACGCACATTGAGGACGCCTACGAACGGTGTCCCCCGAACTCCCAATTCGAGCTGATAAAGGGAATCAACGGGTGCTCCATCTCCGATGGTTATAGTCCGGTGCTAAAGGGTATTAACGAGAGGATTTTGGACATGACGGGAGTGGAGGAGACCTGGCATACTTTCTATATAGTCGAATACTCCCAGCTGACGACCTTTGAACCCTTCAAACTTTTTAGGAATTCTACTAAGGTAAGGGATTATACATTTTACGTAGCAAAGCTATAAATATATTGTTGCCTACTTTTAGACACCTTTATATGTGATTTGGTTTTCTCTATTTTTTTCTATTTAGTTACAGCTCCAAAAGTTAAACGCCCAGAACTTGGATAATGTCGAGGGCACTGTTATAATATTTGTGAGTGATATAGGGACATCTATTTTGTGGGATCATATCACCTCATTACCTGTATATTTTTAGTTAAAGGATTTGGATTTGGGTGGAGCGATTACCATGCCAAATGCAGATCTTTATGTGCATCCCAAGAGGGGCAATGTGTTGATTACTTTCCAGCCAGGGGAACTCGAGACTACGATTTGTCCAAATATTGCGGGTAGTGGATTAGGTAAGTCTAATGAATTCTTAAGCAATAAAAAATTTTTAATTCTTTTCTTCGTTCCAGTCATGATCAAGTTTATTTTTATGAAGGAAAAGTAAGCGGTTGGATAAAGCTGGATGATTTGTTTAAAAAATATTACATTTTAAGCTTGCTAATAGAAATTTACATAATTTAAGAGTTTAAATAAATTTAACCAGCCCTGCAAAAACTTTTAAATTTTAAATTAGTCGCAGTTTAATCGTATTATTTATGCATCTTAGTCAAATGTACCATCAGTTTCCCATCAGTTTCAAAATGTCGCTGCTTAGAAGTGTGCACATTTTTATATTTTTACTTTTAAGCACAATAAATGGAGAATATCACAAAGAATTTCTCATAAGTGAGACAGCAAAAATGGATTTAATGCAATTAGACAACGAACTGATTGTCAATCTGGAGAGATATGCCGAAAAAGTCGAGGATAAGGTGGCTAAGCTACAGAGGTTAGTTGGAGATTTATCAATGTAGAATTTTAATATTAATTCTTAATTTTTCTATTCAGAATTGTTAAGGAATTAAGACAGCCCTTGGATGCTGCAAAGGGAATTGAAGAGGAGTACATGGGAAATCCCCTCCACAGTTTTCCACTCATTCGGCATATGTATCAAGATTGGGAGATTCTTGAGGAGTTTATGAAGCAGCCAGTGGGAGAAGGTGAGTCAGGAAACCCATGTAAATTACTAGAAACTTTCAATCAATTCAATTGCAGAACAAATTGATTTTCTAAAAAAGAAACTACCGGAATTGCCCTGGCACGCGGATGCAGAGGAAGCCAGTACAGCCATTTTCCGAATGGCAGAGACCTATGGAATGAAGCCCGGGGAGATGGCTGAAGGTTTCATCGACAACGTTCGCTTCAAGTAGGTTTCTTATAGCTCTCTCTATATACTCTCTGATTCCGATCATTAGCTCTACGCTTTCAGCTCTGGATTGCTATGAAATCGCCAAGATGTACTTTAAATGGGGATACTTTAAGGAAGCCCTTCAATGGTTGATCAACACTAAGACTCGGATGAAAGAAGAGTACTCGGACGTTTATGAAGTGCTGGGGATGACTCGAAAGGATGTTGCATTGCTGCAGGCCAGATGCCTAATAGAATTGGGTAAGTAATTTTTTTTAGTTCTAATAAAAATACAAATGTAGTAAATACAAAAAAAGATATGACAAATTCGGATTACTTCGAAATGTGTCTAAAAGTATACTACAAAATATTTCAGTTTTTTACTGCATACTTTAAGATACCTTTAGAAATCGTGTCGATACTGTACATCGAAAATATCGATAATTTTCAAGCTATATTACAAAACCGCTAATATTTATTTAAACATTACATTCCTGACTGTTTTTTTAGATCTCAAGGATGAAGCTAAGGACGTTCTACTGGAGCAGCCCGATCTCGCGGAGAATGCGACTAACTTGATAGATAAATTCTTGGCCAGACCCTACGAGGCAGTAGATTCGTCGCCCTCTTTGAGTGAAGACTACAAAAGACTGTGTCGTTCTTCGTTCTTGCCGAGACCTTCGAGGCTCCACTGTCGCTACAACACCACCACCTCACCCTTTCTGATCTTGGCTCCACTCAAGATGGAGGAGATCTCACTGGATCCCTATATCGTTTTATACCACGACATTCTGCCAGTTAAGGATATTGATCAGTTAATAATCTTAGCTGAACCGAGACTGAAAGCCTCAGAAGTGATAAAAGAAAATGACAGTACAGTTTCCAGCGATCGCACAGCCCTGGGAACTTTTCTACCCTTTGAGGGCATGAACCCATCTGATGAACCCCTTTTTGATCGACTTACCCAAAGGATGCGCGATATCACGGGACTAAAAGTCGAAGACAGAAAACACGTCAACTTTATTAAGTATGGGTTCGGTGCTCATTACACAAGTCATTATGACTTTTTCAACGAGTCGAACCTTGAAACTGAAGGTCGTGGTGATCGAATTGCCAGCGTTATCTTCTATGTGAGTTAGTTATTTTATAATTCCTTAAAAAAAACTCAAAAATCTCTTTGTTTTAAAATACTTTTAGTTGAATGATGCTCCATTCGGTGGAGCCACTGTTTTTCCGCGCCTAAATATTAAAGTACCTGCGGAACGAGGTAAAGTTCTGTTCTTTTACAATCTGAATGGAGAAACGCACCATGTGGAGCCAAACACTTTGCACGCCGCCTGTCCCGTCTTTTATGGCATTAAATGGGGTAAGTAATTTTATTTTGATATACATTTTTAAAATAACAAAAATTATTTTTGTAGCCATGGCTTCCTGGATTCACGATTGGGATCAGATGTTCATTCAACCCATTTACCGTGAGGAATAACTTTAAATTCTTTAAATTTGTTAGATCTATTAATTAATTAATGTTCAAAGAATATTAAACTTTTTCAATAAAACCTTATATTTCCCACATATTTTTCTAATAAACTTGTTTATATTTATTTGTAAGATATTATTTTACTTTAAAGTTCCCTGAACAACAAATATTTTTCACTTCTAAAGTTAGCACCTTTAATAACCGTGAAACATGTCGAATTGGATGTTTAGCTGACAACAATTTATTTTAACATTCTACTCAAGCCAAAGATGTTCTTGATATGATCAACAGAAAATATGAATTTTATCATATTGGCAATCTTTGCGATTATCCTTGGCCCAAACTGGATAGCAGAGGGCTATATGAAACGTAAAAACTACGTAACCTCAGCGGAGGAGAAAATGAACTTGCTGGATAAAGATAAGGAGCTCATTATCCTACTCAATAGTTATGCGGTTGAACTGGAGAACAAGATCAACGAGCTAAAAGGGTGACTAAAAATATATTTGGATTATCTTATATTTATTTTCTATATTATTTAGGATAGCGGAAGAGTTGAAAAAGCCTTTAAAGGAAGCTCAAGGCAGGGAAGAAGAGTATCTGTCCCATCCTTTAAACAGATTATCCCTCATCCTTCAAATGCACGAGGATTGGGAGCCGCTGGTGAAGTTAATGCAGCAGCCAGTGGGTCAATGTAAGATCTCTTATTGGTTTTTACCATATAATCCATTCCCTAACAATTTCAGGGCCAATTGGTTCAATTGAGAAGCTGCGAGGGGAACTTCCTATGCAAGATGATGTCAATGAGGCAAATCATGCCATGTTTCGCATAATTCAAGCTTATGGTTTGGAGCCCAAGGATGTGGCCAGAGGATTGTTGGATGGCGTGCAATACAGGTTGGTCACTCTAAAGGTTATTTTTTAAATATATTTAAATATAATATTATAGTGGCGGCCTATCTGCTAAAGATTGCTATGCCATGGGAAAGTTCTCCTTCAAAGCGGGTTATTACCAAATAGCCTCCAAATGGCTGAGCACAGCAAAGGATTTGTTAATAAAACAGCCACGTAAATACCATGAGATGATCGGGGTCACAAAAATGGATATTACCCTGCTACTTGCTCGTTCTCTGGTTGCCAATGGTGGGTATTTCCTATTAAGGATCAGTTAGAATTCCAGTCTAAAGATTAACCTTTTGCAGAGAATATATCTATCGCACGGGACATCCTGATGAAAGATCCCATGTTCAATAAAACTAGTAAAACACTATCTATGCACTTTATTAAAAATCCACCGAAGCCAACTATCAACTTGGAGACCTGGGAATCCGGAGGATCCTTCTCTGATCTCTGTCGCTCTGCAAGCAGAAAACACTCCGTAGTAACCAACTCCACGAGACTTCACTGTCGGTATAATTCCACAACTTCGCCGTTCATAAAACTAGCCCCCTTTCGAATGGAGGTACTTTCGCTAGATCCCTATATAATGCTCTATCATAATGTTCTAAGCGATTTCGAGATCGAGAAGTTGGAGCAGATGAGTGAACCATTTTTAGAGCGAACGACAGTATTTCGTGCGGAAAACGGAACCGAACAGGTTGCCCCCAGTCGTTCCGCAGATGGAGTTTGGTTACCTCATCGGCAAACGAAACCCGATGATCTCAAGGTTCTAAACCGCATAGAACGGAGAATTGCTGATATAACGGGTTTAAATTTGCACACTGGAAGACAAATGCAGTTTATGAAATACGGTTTCGGAGGACACTTTGTGCCGCACCACGACTATTTCGATTCGAAAAGCAGTTTTTTAGAGGAGGCTGGGGATCGTATTGCCACTGTTCTGTTTTATGTAATGAGGTTTATTTAATTAAAAAAATTTTATAATATATATTTTTATAATTTTACATCACAGCTTAATAATGCGGATCACGGCGGAGCCACTGTTTTTCCCCAATTAAATTTAGCTGTGCCAACTCAAAAAGGATCGGCTTTATTTTGGCACAACCTTAAAGGGGAGTCCTATGATTATGATATAAAAACCTTTCATGGCGCCTGTCCTCTGATATCTGGCAATAAGTTGGGTAAGCTAAGCCTTAACTTTAAACTATAATTTAATAATTATTTAATTAATAATTGAGTGACTTCATATAGTAATGACAAGATGGATTCACGAGTTGGATCAGATGTTCCTTCTGCCCACTGTACATCCACCTCGCAATTGTAGCTTCAGCAGAACGCTTTCTAAAATAACTTAATAAAATTGTTTTTGATTACCCAAATATTTTAATCATATTTGTGAGTTTAATAAATTTTATACAACATATTCTTAAAATAGTGTACTGTTATATTTATGTAATATATGAAATTATTTTTTCTGAAATTATATAATAATTAAGCTTAATGAGTTTTGTAATGAAATTAATTTAAATTAGAGAATTAGAAATCAACCAATGAGTTCGATAAAATATTTAATGAACTTACTCTCCTCTTTAGTTCTCAGAATTTAATCACTTCTGAAGCTTGCTTACTCATCTTTATTTATTAGTTATTTTCCACCCAGCTCTCAATAGTTTTCCACCCAATTTAGACGCCATACCTTGAACAGCGATTCGTTTTTCTTGGCTGGCATTGGTCATCATTGCTCATTGCACCATTAAGTGGGCAATTAAATTCAATTAGCCGCAATTCTCCACCTCTTACCGATAAAACTTCCCTGTGGTTCTGTGTTTCTGGCCATTTATCACGCCTGGCTGAAAGTTCTCCTTCCTTTTTTCCCCATTCCCTCCAAGATTTCTCTGCAAGTTTGCACTTCGATTTCGATTGGCGCTGCTAATAATTTCCCAGATTTATTGTCTGCCCGCTTCCTGTTTGCTTGGCTCTCCAAAAAGAAAGTTTTCCAATTCCGACTTGGATTTCAATTAAGATTGATGGCCTGCACTTTTCTCGTCGAGGAGTGCGATGCATTTGTCTTGATTTCACCTTGCCGGATTGAGTCCTTTCATCTGCCAGACAACATATGTATGCAGGTTATTCCTGCCACCCCCTCAATCTCAAAAAGGTAACGATGGCAATTTATCAAAATTTGCACACACCCTGCGGATGAATGATGTGTTTGGGGGAAAAGCAGAAGGTGATTACAATTGGCATGCGTAGAAAGACACGTTTGCATTTATCTATGAGTTTCTTGGGTAAAAGTGGTGGCAAAAGTACTTTTTTGGAATTTTTATTTAAAGATTTAGCTAAGTAAAGACTTAATAACTTTTATAAACTTACTTAATTCTAAAAAAAACTTCTCTTTTGGTTTTTTATATTGGTAAAGTTAAAATACATATTTTTAAAAAATAAATAATAAGTTATTTTAAATAAAAATAGCAGAAAAGAAAATCCTATACATTTGTATCTCAAAAATTCTTTGCAAACAGTTTTTTGTAAAGTTCTGAAAAATAATAATGATAACTGTAATTGTGCCTAGATACGCTTTTGTGTACTCACAAGTATTTAAGGACCTTTCACATCTTATTTGTACCTACCTACCTAGAGATGTTATCCCTCCCACTCTGTACCCGACTTAAATTGCTTCTTTCAATGCCAACGGCTGGCTGCTCCTGCAAGGACCTTTCTCCTTCTCCTGCACATCCTGTCACATGCGGAGCCAAATGTCATTTCAGCAAAGTCCCTCAAGTCGTTCGTCTGCTGCCTTTTTGCTCCTGTGTGCGTAGGAAAACATTGTGCAAAATATGTTGGCAACATTTTTCTGCGGCTGCTTAAATTGCATTGGGAAATAGGTTGGGGAGCTGTATGAAAGACAATGAGCTTGTGTGTTTTTCGCTGCTGAAAGGTGCATTTGTTATACCCTGGGAATTTGTGCATGTGAATCGGGTAAATCTGGAATTTTCGGGCATTACTTAAAAACACGCATTTAAAAACTCTTTTTTTATTTTATTTACAAAAAAATTAAATAAATAAAAAAGAAATTATTAAAAACTTTTGGTTTGCTTCTTCCTAAGTGTTTTTGTATCTTTTATCTCTGAAATAGATCTACAACCAAAAATCATTTGAGGGGATTTTCTTTTATCCCTCGCTTGTTGCGCCTGTTCTAATAAAATTAAAATGCCAACCATTTGCACTCCCCTGAAATGCGATATTCCTAGCTCAAATCTCCGGAACTCCGTCGCCGTTGACTGTTAAAAAATTAGCAACAATTTTTCAGCATCGCATCAAAACGCCCGCGACTGTCAACCGCATCGCCGGGATGAAACCACCCCTTAAGATCCCGGAATGCCAATCCCAATCCGAATCCCCACTTATCAAGGAGCTGACTTACTTCCAGCTACACCTTGTTACATCCCCATCCCCTCGGAAAGCCACGCACTTTGTCATCTGGCAGCATCTCCTCTTCGTTTTCCATCCGAGGGGTAATTTGATATGCTGTGGCTTACATTTTTTATCCACCATTACCACAAAACGATTTACTTCCGCGCGGCAATTTGCTTTAAATTTTTATTTAAACAACAATTTGCTCGAGCACAGATTGAGATTTCCGCTGAAAGATTTGTTTTGTGGAAAATAAAAGGGGGACTGTATTGGATTCGGAGGAAGAAAATGGAAAGCTCATTGATGCACCTTCAGTGCTAAGTGGCCTTCGCTTCAAGGATCTCTGGCTGCAACGGACACTCGACAAATTATTTTGCTCTAGACTGTTCAGACAGCTGGGCGTGGTCATGTCCTTGCTCCTTGATGAGTGTCCTTCGTCCTGTCTAAGGTTCTGAGTCCCCACGATTTATACTCTTTCGCAGGGACTTTATAAATGTATGCTGAGTTTAGCAAGTCATGTTATTTAAAAATACTTTTCTATAAAATACTTCAATTTGTTAGGATAAAAGAGTTATTAATCAAATCTTAGGCATGTTTTTAAACAATTTTATCTTTATTATATTATAAACATTAAATTGTAAAACTATTTTTGAGAGCGTATTTAAGCTGCTTACATTTAAATCAAATTTCCAACGACTTTCTTTTTAGGGTTTTTCTTCATCTGAAATTGGTTTTATGTTCGCTGATGTTTTTTCCCTTTTCTTTTGCATATTTTTGTCTAAAAAGGAGTTTCCCAAAAATTTATTTAATCTTCAAGGTGAAGTTTTCCCTTTTTCTTGTTCATTTTAGTTGTTTTTCCCGCTTTCTGCGGTTTTTAATTTGATTTCTTGCACCTTGGCTAATTGGCAATTGGATGCGCTGATGTTGCTGACAGTTTCCACTCAGCCATTTTCACCGCCCCGAATTTAAGCGCTTTAAATTATCCTCCAAGGATGTGCGAGGATGTGGGCGGTGGGTGAAAGGGGGGAGTGGCTGCTCGTCCAAACTCCTGGCGTTAATGGCTCTTTTATGGCCGCCACTGTGCGGTCCCCGCTTTTGTGGCAGCTGCAAATATTTCGTTACTGCAACGTGGGGATCGGATCAGGGATTCCCCCCGTTTGGTGGGCTGGCGTTGCAGGGAGGGGGAGGGGGGCGTGGCATCCAGCTGAAATCTAATCTATGCAAGTCCCGCACACATCCCTTTGGATACCGCGCTCTCCATCCAGTGATACAACTAGTTTTTTTCGCTTGATTTTGCACTTTTTTCTGGCGTTTTTTCCCTGTTTGGCAGCTTAACAGTTAATTGCCCCTTGAAGAATACCGCTGCGGAGCTTCGGAGCCCCACTGTTTCGTTCCGGAGTGGACTACAATGGGACTACCTATGTGGACACGAAAGGATATGGCTGGACATGGGAGCTGCGATGATGTCTGTACTTTTGGTGTACCCTGTAGTCGCCTAAAGTTTACAAGTAGGGTGTGTTGTTTTACCTTCTTAGCAGTTTAGAATATTTGTAGATTTTATAACAAACTCCTATTACATAAAATAGTTTATAGAAAGGAAGTTTAGATTTTACAAAATATTTAAAAATATTATAAACAGGATCTCTGGAGAATTCAATATCATGTTTAGTAAATTGTTCATTTAGTACAGTGTTCACTTAGTACGGTGTTCATTTGGTACAGTGTTCATTTACTACAGTGTCATTTAGTACACTGTTAATTTAGTTCAGTATTCATTTAGTGTTCACTTAGTATAGTGTTTTTTAGATCACTGGTCGTTTATTGGAATGTACATTTAGTACAGTGTTTATTGTTATCTCTCACATTAATTTATTATCCTAACTTTACATACAAAAAACCATAACCTCCCTTATAAGAGGTATCCCTTAGTCCAAAGTCCATCCTGCAGCATCCTGACTTGTCTGTCTCTAACCCTGTGCGTGTGTTTTAATCGGTTTGACTTTGTTGCCTGACCTGCGTGGGGTCAATTGGAAGGGGGAAGTGGATGTGGAAGTGCACGGGTATGTATGGCTATAAAATTGGGGTTGGGGGTCGTCAGGGGGGTAACAACAACAAGGACAAACAACGTAGCCAGTGTTGCCCGCAGCAGCAGATTGAATCCTAATCGAGGTTTTGACTTTGGTTACGTTGCGTAAACACGCAACAACCGGCACACACGGCCCCTCACATCCTGCCTTTGGAAATATCCTAGCTGAAAACAGTGCAACGTGGCTCAAGGATATTTGATGGGGCGAGCAATTTGGGGCAGTACCTTTGCAGTAGGCCTCACTGTACGTCCTGCAGTGCAGTTTATTGTAGCATACTTGCAGGCAGCTGTTGTTTGCTTGTCCTTGGGGCTTTTCGATGAAAAATGGAAATGCCGGTGGCAGGTGGAGGTGATTAGGGAAAGTTTAGGCTTACGATCCTGAATTTCGTCATGAAAAAACAGGAAAATGTTGTATATAAATTTATAAAATAACTACGATATATATAATAAAATATTTTATAAATTTGTTATATTATATTAATTCTTTTTTTGCTAAGAATTCCTCTCGCGCTGCCTTGCGATCAACCTTGCCATTTAAATTGGCCGGCAAATGATCTGTGAACTGGACACCGGAATGAAGTTGCTTCCGAATTGGCGGCAATCGTTTCCCCACATGTTCTGTAATTTCCTGTTCCTTGATGTTCGATCCTTTAGTTCTCACTACCAAAGCTCCAGCTGCATCACCAACCCGCTCATCGTAGATTCCCACAACACAAACATCCTGCACTCCTGGTAGTTCCGAAATAACTTTCTCTATCTCAAAGGTCCAGTACTGGTAACCCAGGTACTTGAGGACGGCCTTCTTGCGATCCACTATGTGAAGCAGGTGTTGATCATCCAAGTAACCCAGATCTCCTGTATGAAACCAACCCTCAGAATCCAGGACATTTTGAGTGGCCTCGGAATTTCCAAAGTATCCATTCCAGTGGTTTCCTACTTGTACACATATCTCTCCCACCTCATTGGGTCCCAGATTCCGATTGGTCTCGTCTATAATTTTAACCCGTACTCCGGTAAAAGGTCTGCCAGCGGTTAGGCAATTTCGACTGTCGAAACTCATCGAAATGGTGCCCGTTTCTGTTAGTCCGTAACTCGCACAGATGACAGCATTCCTGAAGAGATCCTTAAGTTTTTCGCCTGTAGCCGAGGAAATCGCACCACCGGTGAAAAATAATTTCCTGAGGGATTTTAAATCTCCAGCTGTGGCTTCTGGGCAGCTGCATATCGCTGATAGATACCAAGGAGCCAATGATGTGTGAGTGATCTTGTACTTCTTCATCAAATGGACGAAATACTCCGGCGTTAAAGGGTTGCTACTGCAGATCATGGTACTGCCGAGAGCAGCGGCAATAATATAAGCTGCTAGACCCGAGGTCCAATCCAGACCACTTGCAGTATAGATGACAGACTCGCTATTGGCCATTGGCATTGGCAGTACTTCGTTGTTGGAAAGACATATGGCTTTCGGTAAACCAGTTGTTCCCGAGGAGCAGAGAATAACCACTGTCTGATTGCCACCCTCCGCCAAGGGTTCCGGTCTGAAATTAAATGGATTATAAAATGATTATAATTAAAATGATTATTATAATGATAATTATAATGATTATAATACATGTAGAAAACACGGAGAAAGTATGTAGAAAACATTAAGAAAGTATGTAGAAAACATGAAGATAGTGTGTCTCAAAGTATGCAACAATTTATTTTGATCCTGAAAGATTACGTCCTTATTTTCATTGCATACTTTTACACACCTTTATAAGTGATTTTGAAAACTCTAAAGATTATAACTTTTTAATGCTCACTGGTAAATATTCTCGTCATCTGTATAATCGAGCAGTGACTCAATACTGAGTACACCCTCAACTTTTCCAGTGATAATAAAAATCTCAGGTCGCCAATCGATAGTAGCTGCATGAATTTTCTGCCAAACATTGCCATCGCAGAAAATCAGCTTAGGCTTGGTGATCGAAAACATATGCTTTAAAGTGGCTGGAATTAATTACATATTTTTAGTTAGTAATATTTAATATTTTGAATTATTATACCCGTTACTCGTAGAGTAAAAGGGTATATTGTATTCGTGCAAAAGTATGTAACAGGGAGAAGGAAGCGTTTCCGACCCCATAAAGTATATATATTCTTGATCAGGATCACTAGCCGAGTCGATCTAGCCATGTCCGTCTGTCCGTCTGTCTGTCCGTCTGTCCGTCTGTCCGTCTGTCTGTCTGTATGAACGCTGAGATCTCGGAAACTATAAAAGATAGAAGATTGGCATTTTGCATGCAGATTTTAGGAGTTCCTACGCAGCGCAAGTTTGTTTCAAAATGGTGCCACGCCTTCTCTAACGCCCTCAATCGCTTGTATACGATTTTAAAGATTTTAATATTTTTGAAAAGTAAAAATGCAGTTTTATTGTGTTTATCAACACCTATCGAAATGTAGAAGAAATTTTTCTAATCGGACCATTCGTTAAAAAGTTATGCGTGATCAAAGTTTTCTATCTCTATCTCCATCTCCCTCGCACTCCCTTTACCTGAGTAACGGGTATCTGATAGTCGTGGCACCCGACTATAACGTTCTCTCTTGTTATTATATTACCTTCATCCAACACTGGACTCACAGCATGGAAGGGAGTTCCATTCATTAGACATGCCACTACCAGAGGCATGACATACGTAGAATTTTTGGCAGCGATGCCAATGATATTCTTATGGTTGAGTAACCTTTTCCTAAAGGATTGGGCAATTCGAATGGCCCAGGTTAGGACTTGCTCGAAAGTTAGGGAGACCCCTGTAATATCACATATCTGAATTTTATAAATATAAATTATTTTTCTTAAAGACTTTGATTTGTTTTCTTATAATACTGACCAGGCACACATTTTTCGGCCAGTTTCTCATGGTGTGGAAAATAATTCTACCCAAAGAAGTATCTTCCTTGTAAATGGTACTCCTTGGGGGTCCACTCCATACCTTTTCCTCTTCACTGTAAATCACTGGTAACTCAGTCATCTTATAAAAAATTATTATACGATCTGTTGTCTCCCACAAAAGGTTTTAAACTGAGGCGATAGTCTAGGAAAATGTAAATATATAGTGAAAACTCGGTGACGAGATAGTAAACTGTTTATTTGCTTCGCGTGCATTAAGAGTAAAATTTCTTATCAGAAGATAATCTTTACAATAAACGTTTGCCTAAAGAAATTTTCAGCTAGCTTGCTTACAATTACGATAACTGCAATACATTTAATTGATGAGTGGTATTAGACAGAACGTTTATATAATAGAAATCTAACATTTTTAATAAATAGATTGTTAATTTCAACCACTGTACATCGCTTTCTGGACACTTTAACCCTTTTCCCAGCTTTAAATGCACTTTTAATCGCCAGAAGGTTAAATCAATATTGAATCGCGTCCTGCGTTTCTGAGGAGCAGCTGTTGACAGGCGGCCAAATGTGGATGCTTCACGTAGAGACAGAGACGGGTAGAGCAGCCGGGAAAAAGATATGGGCTTAGAGGGCGAAAAAGAGATGGCGAAACTTCTGACAGTTTTAAGTTTGACTGGGGAACTCTTTCTGGAGTCGGAAAATATGTGTTGGCAACTTGTGACACAAAGGCGCCGTCACCATCTTCCAATCTTCACTGCCCTTTCCCCTCCCCGAAGTTTTCCCCCTTTTCCAGGCTTTTCCTTACGTATGCAACAATGCGCTGACTTGACTTGGCTTTTTTACTCCTCAAACCTCCCTACGACCTTCACACAAAACTTGAACATCACGTAAGCATTTTCCAACCCCCGTAGAAAGAGTTTTTTCCCCGCCCTTTTCAGCAACTGACCCCCCACATTTGCACATACATCAAAAATTTTGTTATGTCTTTGTAGGATTTTTGCTTAAATTTTGCTTTTACTTTTCGTCGACTTGTGCTGTGTGAAAAGGTCAGACATTGTCAGTTAAGTGTCCATGTCCAAGTCGGAAAAGTGTTGTCCAAGACTTCGAGTGCTTTTCACAATTTTTTAGAGCTCCTTCCCATTTTTTTCTTGTCTTTTGGCTCTTATTGAACGCCTTTCGGTTAGGTGTCAATGTGCAAAGCAGAATTATGGCAAATGGTATTGGAAAACTTTGCCAGCTTTCGTAGTAAATGGATATTACAATTCGGTTTGGGGAAGGAGTGGAAATGGTAAGGATGTTTGGGATTTAGTTGGTGGAATATAAATAAGTATATTGGATAAATAAAATTATTGGAAGAAGGAGATTTTTAAATATGTAATAAAATTTAAAATAAGAAGATATTTTTGTAATTTAAATATTTTTTATATTTTTAATATAGATTTTGTATTTCAATTAAATTAAAATTATTAACAATTATTTATTGGGAAAAATTTAAAGCACTTAAGAGATGTCTATTGCATATTCTTGGCACTTTATTTACAGATTCCTTGAGGGAACGCAATTTAACGCAAACAACTTCTATTTTTTTTAATGGGTGTCATTTGTAGAGTAAACTCCCTATTTTGCTCCATTAACTTTTTCACTTCGGCCATATCAAAAATCCAAAACACAGAGCAAAACCACCGTGACATAAATCACAAAATCAACAACTGGTATAAAAATCGAGTTATGGGGGCCAGCAATATAGATTTTGATTTATTGGCTGCTGGCGTGACTCTCTATCTGAACAACCATAAAGGTGGGGGTATACGAATATATATATGGGAAAAACCCCTAGCCAAACCTCCTAAGTAGACAGCTCAAAGGCCTAAACGAAGCGAAGCCAACAAGAAGAACATGCGAAAACAAAAACATACAGAGTGGAACCAAAGCCAAAAAGCAAAAGCCAAACAATGGCGAGCATTTTGATTTGTGACTTGCGACTTTTCACGTAGCAAAACTCGCACACACACACCACACACGCACCGGGGAAAATCTCCATAAAAAATATGAAAATAAAAATCACGCAACAGGATATTGAAACGTCACACATATGCCACAAGTGCGAGAAAAGTGGGGGTGGCTGGGTGAAAAGGGGACTTCATTCGGCATTAAAACTGTCAGTGGCGCAGATTGCCTGCGGTGGCTAAGGACACCTTCGCACATGATTTATTTTCAGCTGCATTTATTCGGGAAAACTCATGTGTGTGTTTGTGAAAGTGAAATGGTGCAAAAAACTGCGCAAATTTCCCGTAAACAGTTGCACTTTTCTTCGCCTTATTTCGAACCCCCCAGCGAAAACGTGCTTGGCACCCCCTCGAAAGTCCTGAATGTCCTGGCCAATTGTCAGCCAGACGGCAAAAGGCAGGACTGATTGGAACTTTGAGCCTGCAGCTTCTGGCTGAACGGACGTGCAGCGAAAGTTTAAATAAACACGACCAGCAATGCGTAGCGTCGGGGGGATTTTCCAAACAGAGTGGGAAAACAAATTAAAGTGCCTCGAAAAGTCAGGCAAACGCAACTTGAGCTTAAAAGGATGAAGAGCCAATTTTGAATCGATATAGTTATATAGAGGTTATTTAAAACTCATTTTGTTTTAAACTGTACGCCGATTTTAAAGTTTTAAAAAGGAACAAAAATATTTCTTTTATTTATTTATTGTTTATATTATAGATAAATATTATAGATCAATATTCACTATTTTATTACCACAAAAATTCTTACGGATTTAAAATCAATTAAAAAGGTGCCTTAAAGTATGCAGACAAAAAACGTTACTTTTTAGAACAAAAACTTGAGATCTTCTAATTAAAAATATTTTCTTGCATACTTTTATACAGTTTTTTAACAAAAATAGCGAACAAGTTGCTAAATTCGATAAAATTAAATTTAATTTCTTAACGATTTCAAAAAGTAAGGAATTTAATATTTTTGTATAAAATACAAAGTTTTTCTTTTAACTTTAATGATAACTTTGCGTCATAGAATTCTAGTTGTTCTGAGCCCACATTTCTTTAAGAATCTAGCATAGTTCACATGTGCTCGGAGTAAACAAAACAATGTTTTTTTCCCCAATTTCGTTCCACCTCCTCGGAACTCGGAACCCAAAACTCAGAACTCAGAAATCGTGTGTGTGCCTAGCCTGAAAGCATATCCATTTCACGCCCAAGTGCCGTGGCTTCCTTGGAACCGTGTGTCAAATCCATTAACCTTCTGTTTACTTTTCTACGTCCAGTGGTCGCAGCAGGGAAAAATCCGAAGGCGATGCCGTCGTAGTGAAAGTGTTTTGTGGGAGTAATTTGATACTTTCGCCAAATTGCGTTGCACACTTGAGGTCCTTGGAGTTCTTCCCACTCTTCCATAAATCTTACCTAGGCGTGCGAGAAATGGAGCGGGAAATTCGAACTACGAAGCACATATCCTTAGAGCACATATCCTGGGAAAAACTCATGCTCAGTAATGAGTATTAAGTTGACGTAAATTGCGGTACATTACATTAACCAGAAGGAGGGTCTCTGGAATTGGGGACTGGAGTTTGGGGCGCTGCCAATTATACTCGTGTCTCTGTTAATTGCTTTTGTAGTTTCGCTTACAATTGAACAAACATCGATGGTTTATTTATGAGGGGAAATTGATAAGGACAAGTTATACGTCAATGAAATATGAAAGGTTTTCTCAAGCTCTAGTGAAAGTTTGGTTTTGTTTATGATGTTTGGAGCGAGGTATGTCTTCAATTTAATTGTTAAAATTAATAATGAGGCAATAAAAACGTTTTGTTTTATGACTTAAATGCCTTATTTTAGATTTAAAAATATTTTAAATTTTTTATATGATTCATATTTATTTAAAAATGAAAAAAGTCATTATACCCCCTTAATAATACTGTTTCCTTAAATCTAAAACCTGCAAGGAGATTTATTAAATCCTTTTACAGATCGTTAAATTCTCTTCACAATTTATTGCCCTATTTTTTTTATTTAGCTCACCTTTCACTATGCAGATGTATATCTTAATTTTCGCCAAAAGAAAATACCCTCTAATGGAATTAAAAAACATAAATCCGCATCTGATTTCCGCGATAAAATAAAAACTCAACGCAGGCATTAAGCAAATGAAAACCGCAGCGAAGGAAAAACAAAGGAAAAGACAAGGAAAACGTAAATGATTTAAGAACTTTATCGGACATCAGCGACCAGCAGGAAAAAATGGTCAAAAAAGCAGAAAACAAGGAGCTCGGCGGATGGAGTGCAAAGGACACTTGCCAGGAGCTTAAATAGAACGCTTGTAGGTGATTATGCAGCACATAATTTATGCAGGCAGCCAGGAAAACTCGGGAAAACAGAACAATGACCAACCTGCAAAAGGGAGGGGGGAAATGGGGGGTGGCTGGGCGAAACTGATTTAATTAAGCAGGTGATTAAAGTTGATGCCGGTTATTTGTAGCAGCCAAAAGAGCAACAAGGATGGTCCACTTTGCATCCTGTTGCTCCTTTCTCCAATCTCCGGTCCTTAGAAAGAAAAGCGTGAAAAGTGCGAGCAAAGTTTCCCGACAACGGAACTGTTCATTTGGTCTGCCCCCCTCCCAAAAAAAAAAGGACTACAATGCAAATTTTGTTGGCTTGTTACGGGGCAACATGGCGTATGCACAACTTTTTTGTTTGCGAAGCGAAGAAAGGTCAAAAAGTGCAATCAATGGAAATTAAAATTCAATCAAAGCTGCCTTAAAGAGTGGAAGATAATGGAAGGGAAAATATGAATTTTATTATGATTTCCAATTAAAACAAAACCAAAGTAATTCATAAAATTTCTAAAAAGTGTAAATCTTTTAAAAAGCTGCCTAAGATTATGGTATAAATATTTTTTAAAATTAAATTTATTTATTTATTAATTTATTTGGCAACATATTTTCTAAAATTCGAAAAGCTTAAAATCTTTTAAAAAGCTGCCTACAAGTATGCTATTATCATTTTCAAAGAACTTTTCTTACGATTTCTCAATTTTAAAATCTAAATTAAATTCATAGGAAAATATGCAATCGTTTTTGAATTTATGCAACATCAATCTTATGCAACAAAGAACTTTAAAAGAAAGTTATCTTAAATACTGCATACTTATTGTCTCCACATGAGTGTCCTTTGCAGTCATCTTGACCCCCTCGACCTCCACGATCCCCTGGACATGTGCTTTATCATCAGTTTTGGCCCTTGAATTTTACACAAAATCGATTCGGTTCTGAGGACAAGGCCATAAACGCACTCGACAATAAAACGCAAGAATCAACAATTATGTTAATTTCCTTTGTGGGTCAATGTCTCTCGCTTTTCTTGTGTGTGTGCGTCTGTGTGGGTTGTATTTTATGGCCATATCTTGGGCCAACTGTCAGGCGAAGACAGCTGCAGTGGCCGAAAATAAATTAACATTATTTATGAATTTTCTTTTGTGAAGTTTACAAACGATATGGGGCCATGTTAAGATACCCCTGAATTTCCCCTGCTGTTAAGTTAACAGTGAAAGTGAAGAGAGAGCTTTTGTGGAACTGCGCATGTCCTTTGCTCACACCTCAGAGAAAATACCTAGACACGTGCTTCAAGTCTGGCTGAGATATATATAATATACCTTACGCATCCACCAATCTACCTGCGTCAGTAGCCCCCCTCCCCCTTTCTATGTGTATATGTTTGTGAGAGCCCCATATATATATGTATACCTGTTTTAGGTGTTGGCCCATCGTCTTCGTTTCGTCGTCGTTTTGGCTAGAAGAGTGCGGCATGTCGAGATGTAGGTGCCAGCTGCGCTGCTACCTCTCTCTCTTACCTGTGGGTACGGCTCCCCCACCCCTCTCCACCACATTTTCCGCCCCCTTTTCCCAGTTACCCAGCTGCAACCTCAACCGCAAGTAACAGTTGTTATTCGTCGTGCGTTTTTCGTTCGTTGGCTTCGCTCTCACACAGATACACGGATATTCTGGCCAACACACACACTAACACACACATATATAATCTCAGCCAGGTTGTTGCCTGTCCTGCTGTCTCGCTCGCTCTTATTGGCCTTTATGGCGGGCGCTACCTACGCTTTTTAAGGTGACCACGAAAATGTTGGCAGCCAACCAAAGTTGAGCACCTTCGAGGGGTTTTCCACCCAAAAGGGGTGGGGCTCCATGTGTTTTTCCGACGGCCAAAAGAAAAATCTCTAGTTCAGGTTAGTTTTACAGTAGTTTGTGTTTTATTCGGTACAACTAAACACGATTTTGTTCATTTCCTTTGTAGATAAAAATATAAGGGCCTTTAAGAATTAATTTTTAAGTTTGCCTATATTTTCTCAATATTTTCCTATAATTTTTTCTAAAGATTTTCTTGATTTCTACTGAAAGTATACACGTTTTAGCCTTTTAGGTGATTTTGTATGATCTATTTAAGTTCTTATATCTTCTATAGTTGCCCTCCATTTTCTACTTATTTTCCTATATTTTTCCTACAATTTTCCTTTACTATCCAAAGCCCCCTCCCCCTTGTTTCTCATAGTGCTTTATTTTCCCCATCAACGTCATCGTCATTTTGCCGTCGTCGTTCGCTCGTCAACGTCGTCTGTTCTCATCTGTTTGGCTCGGCTTTCACCTTTTCCACCGCTTTTCCTCCTCCGCTTTTCCAGCTTTCCCCCCGCATTCCCAGTGTGCGTGAGTGTGTTTGTGAGGTGCTCTCAGCTCGTCTGGAGTTTTTGTGTAGCGCAGGTTTAGGTGCGCAGCTTTCGCTCGTTAGGTACTCGGTTTTTTGCCAGCTTTCCTTCCTTTTTTTATATTTCCACTGCTGTCTTAGGTAAATACAAATGAGAAAGCGAGTGAGTGAGTGAGAGAGAGAGAAAGAGAGAGCGAGAAAGCCGAGAGAGGAGCAGGTGCGCCGGGAAACTCGAGCTAACTAGAAGCCCTCTTTTTCCCCCTGCTCCTCTCCAGAAATGAAGGTGTGTCTCTCCGAGTGCGTTAGGTGCTCCAGCAAAATTGAGGGGGAAAAGGGGGAGGAGGAAAATAGAGGAGGAGGTGGAAAATTCAACTGTGATTTATGCCAGCCAATGGTTGAGCTCCTGGCTACGTGTGGTAGGTAAGTAGGTGTGACACCAGTGTCGCTCCGTCTCCGTCGCTCATACGCCACGTGGGCTAAAAAAATGGCGACTCGGCTACTCGCACCTATGAGCGTTCAGCTACTCGCTCGGAATGGAAAGGGGAAAACTTTTCTAATTAGCCAGTGGCCAAAGGATGAAAGGGGGAGGGGGTAGGAGCCTGGGAAAAACTTTTCTTTTCGGCCCTCCGCAGACGCGCCTCTTTATGGATTTTCCGACTGCCCGCTGCTTTATTTTCTTTCTTTCCTTTCTTTGCTTTCAGCCCCCTACATTTTCCCCCCATTTTCCTTGCCATTTTCCTTAGGCGGTGTCAGTGTCCTCGTTAGGATGCTGGAGCATTTTCTTGTGCGCAGCGATTTTCCTTCTCTCATTGTTGCAGATAAAATCGATAGCTCTTTATGGCAATTTAATATGACCTTCGTGGCTTACTTATACACATAAATTCAGTACTTTTGCTAGGCTCTTTATGGCCCCCCCTCCTCCTCCGCCCCATTTTCTTCTCTTTCCTTTTCGTAGGCTGTTTTTGTTTATAATGCTGCGTTTTTATTCGCTTCTCTCTGGGGCTTTTTGCAACAACTGCGACTTTCGACTGTTTCAACAGGTCGTATGCGCAATCTGTTGCCACCCATTTTTTCGGCCATCCTCTGCCAGAGGTCAGCTATTTGACATTGAACTCGCATCATATCTGCTTCGCCAGCTATTGAACTCTTTCTTTGTGGCCTCAAATCGACGCGACCATCATAAACAGATATCTCAAGCTATCATCAATGTTTTGGAATAGAACGAAGATTAGAGGCGATTTTGTTTCCATGGGTTTTTTATGTTCTGGTTCTTGCTTTTAACATTTTTATAAGATTTTAGCAATTATAAAAACATTAAGTTTTGTAGCTTTGCAGAAAGGTGATAAAGATCTCAGGAATTTTTAAATTATGCAGAATTAGTTTGCAATAAAATACTTGCCCTTTTTGGGCTACAATTTTATAGAATTTAAATAGAAATTTCCTGCTTAAAAACAAAAATTGTACACAAAAGGTACCAGGTCTTGTGCTTATAACTAAAACTGTGCAAATCTAAATTTAGAAAAGAATTGCTCTAAAAATTTGTATGATTTTATTATTTATAATACGTATTAAATGTTAGCACCTTAAATAAACTTTTTAAAGTATCAGAAAATAATCGTAAATATATTTTATTTTGTCTTCACATTATAATATTAAATCCCCTCAGGTGCGAAAGGTTTAACATTCCTCAATCTTCGTTAAAATCCTTTTAGAAATACCCTCCTATAAAGACCTGACCCTTGTTATGGCGGTCAAAATCTTTATCTAGAAACCCCCAGTCCAGAATCCACTTTGAGGTTTGTCATTTGGCACAAGAACATGTGCCACACTCCCCCATTCCAATCCTTTGCCCCTTAAGTTCAACAATAAGTCAGGGCATTAGTCGCTTGAGAAATTGTCTGTTTACCTTGTTGGCCAGTCGCCTTTTGCCGTTTCCAGTTCTTACAGTTTGCCAAATGGCACTCAAAGCGGTGAAATATGAAAAATGAGACGCAGGAAGCGAAATTACAAGCCATGGCCAGGAGTATCCTGGGTATCCTGCAGCACCTCCAGACTTCAGACTCCAGGAAAAACCGCGCAGAGTGGCGAGACCCAAATGAAAAGTTGAAGTAATAATTGTGCGGCGGAGGCGACGACGACGACTTCGCCAAGGGGCATCCTTGCACATTTTCATTTGGTCATGTCCGGTGGTGTCCGACGATGGGTAATGTTTGTCCAGACGACCCCAAGTAGCCCAACACACGTCCCCAGGACCACTGACTCACCCAGCTGCTGCTCCTAGATTTTTGTACTTCGTTCGGGATGGTATAAGGGTATATTCTGATTCTTATGTTTGAGTTGAGGAGTAAAAATAACTGTAATAGACCTGAAACCTCTTAGAAATTTTTTTTAAAGTTCTGAAATTACTTAAAAATTGGTCTAAAAGTATGCTAGAAAAGTTGTTTAAGTAAGCAAGTCTAGAGTATATGTGTCAAATGGCAATGTCCTATTTTTTAAAGCATTCTTTTGGGCACCTTTTTAATTTTAAACTTTAGGAGATTTTTAGAATTTTAAAAAGTACATACTAGGTATTTCCAAAGTCGAGGTTCTGAATAATACATATTTCCTTTTTATTTCCACTCTCCGTTTTCCATCTTCGTGTTCCTGCACTCTGTCAACGGCAAATGTTGCCAAGCCCTGCTGACCACTGTCCATGCGAAGAGGAGCAGGGAAATGGAAAATGGAAAAGGAGGAGGAAAAGCCAAAGGGAAGCTGGCGAGGCGGAGAGGGAGAGGGAAGAACAAGAAGCAGGGACACCTCTAAGTGGGCTTCATCAGTTGCGCTTCGCTGGGCGCCGCCAGCGTCATAATCGTCCTGTCCTGCTCATCATCTTCTCGCCGATTTCCTTTCGACATCTTGGGTTTGTTTGCTGCCTTTTGCGGTTTTCCCATTTTTTTGGGGTCAAAGTTCAGGCATTTCCCCTCTGAAAAGTCCGCCGGTCTTTATTTATCTTTAAGATTTTCAACTCAGTGCACAGGTTTTTTGTCCACACGCTGACTTATGACCACAACAATGCGTCAGTCTGGCTGCTTGACTGGCCTTAAATGTGCACTGCGAGAAATGGATGAGTGGAGGTAAAATATTTGCAGGGAAAAGGGTTTTCTGAAAAAGTAAAATAGAAAAAGAAAAAATAATTTTTGTATTGCCATTCGATTTTCTTTAATTTGTACTTTTTTAAAACATTTAAATATTTACCAAAAGTAGTATACGATATTTTTATTTATAGAGCATACTTTTAGATACCTTTTTAAAATTTTTAAAACGGAATAAATAAGTAATTTGTTACTTAAGGAAATGTAGCTAAACAAAAGTATACAAACATATTATAATATATTCTAAAATATCGTTTTCTCTTTTCTCAGTGCAAAATTCCTTGGGTTTTTGTCTCTGTCCACTCGCAGCTGCCACTTGCAGTGTATCCTCGCAGGATGTAGGATGTGTGATAGTGTGTGGACTTGGACTTGGACCGCTGCTAAGTGGAAACTGTAGTTTTTCTTACTTATGTCCTGGCAGGAGAGCGCGGCTCATAAAGATTTGTGTCTGCGCTCTAATGTCATAAGTCAAGTGCTGGTCGCAGTTCAAGAACTCACGTGTTCGAAGGAGTAAGACCACCTCCGTGACCCCATAACTCAGTCCATATCCTTTTTCCCCTTACAAGGACCCCGGTCCTGCTTCAAAGGCAAACTCTTTCTGCAGTTTAATTGAGAGAGGGCATTAAGCAATTACGGCCAACTACCTCGAGTGGACTTTTGGCTTTAATTTAATTTGTCACACTTTGCGAGTGCAGACAACTTTACACTCTGGCCGCAGGAAAGTAGAGCAGCTGGCAGGATTCAGGATCCAGGATCCCCAGGGAAGAAGATTGGGAAAATGGGGATTGTGGTCTGGCACAGCCATTTTCAATTTGACTATGCCGGAAGTTACCTGCTGGTGCCAACATCTTACCCACACGGGCAGAGGGAAAGTCCGGCACTGAAGTCATTTCCTGTGCACAGGACACCCGCCTCCTTGTCCAAAGTGGTTTTACGACCAAGTGTCCCATGTGGCCAGCAGGGACTAGATTAAATTGGCATCTTTTGTTGTGTAGTGACTTTGTTCTCGCAAACGAGAATGTGAGCAAATTAAAAGTTGGCCAACTGGGGAGTGCAGCGCCCTTCTCGGCGCTTCTCACTTTGTCCAAAAGGTCAGCGGCCATCCATCAAGCGAAGAGCTCTTATTAATGCCTCGAATTTGCTTTCCTTTTCCCGGCGATTAATGAAATATTTACAAGCTCAATTGGGCAGGCAATGAATGCTAATTAATTCGCTGCCAGGCTTTCTTATCTTCACGGTTGAGGAGACCTTCAAAATTTATTGAAGTCCCGAATTTAATCCCTTTCTTTCGGAGGAGAGCAACTATAATTGAAAAAGTTTGTAAGCCCCAGAAATAGTTGTCAAAAAAGAGATGTGAAACAATGCGATAAATGCAAGTCTATGTTGCATTTGTACTTTTCAAGATGCGGTTTATTGTCGAGCTGAAGAATTTTTCTTGCGAGCCAAAGTTTCTTGCGGCCTGTAGGCCTTGGATAATGCAATTTGGGGTCTGGCCATATCTGATTTGGGTCGGTGGTGGGTCAGCAATTTATGATACGCACACTTTCGATTTTTGTGGCCGCTCTAATTGCCGATACGCCTGGCATATGAATCGAGTGGAGGGCCAAGAGTCGAGACGGAACAAAACAAGTTAATTAAACGCTTCCGTTTTCCTTTCGCTTTTTGCATCTTATCAGTGTCCTGGCATCACTGGGTCCTTTAATTACGGAGATTTGTATGCCGCCTCGGACTTTCACTTCTCTGCATGTCTCGGTTTACAGGCTCACATGCTTTTTGAGTACGATTCTATATGTAAATTTATTATTTATTAACATTAATTATGGTGGTCAGTCGTGTAATTGAAGAAGCCTCTCCTTTGCCCTCTGGAGGGCAATTCAGATTCGGGGTTGTCATCGGGTTTCGGTTTCTACTGCTGATGTCAGCGGCCTAATTAACTGGCCATTTGTGTGCCGCACACTCTCTGATTTTTTGAAGGGGCGAAAAAAAGGGGAAAACATTTACCAGTTCTTGGAAAGTATTCGCATTGATATGCTGAACATAACTAGAGCTTCATTTGAATGCTCCTTACATAATGGATTAAATACTTTGATTTATCTACGGCATGTTCTGATTATTTTATTTTTGTTTAGGCTTATCTTGATTTATATCTTAGATTTTTAGTACCATTTTCATTTGTATTGTTATGAAAAATAAAAAAGTATTATAAAATTTGAAATTATGATTTTAAAGAGTTCTGAAACAGTTCTAGAATGCATCGAATCTAACAGATTCTACTTTTATAAAGTATATTTATCATTCACCCATTCAAAGATATTATATTTGCTGTGCAAATAAAATGTTATTTCATTTATTAGTTTTATATATTTGGCTAGTAATATTTGTTAAATAAGAAAGGCTCAACAACTAAAAATAAATTCTTACTAAGTTAGTAATACTGACACATTTTATACCTAAGGCTTAGTACTCAACCCAACAAAAAGTCGTCCAAAACAAAACACTTCATATGAAAAACAACGTCAAAAAATTTTGTTTCATATGAAGTTTTTGTTTTGAACGACTTTTTGTTGGGTTGAGTACTAGCCCTAAATCCCAAAATAATTCCCCAAAAAGTAGGCAACGTTTTTACCAGGGACCGTAAATATTCATTATTTGAGATTTTTATTTTAAAAGGCCTACTGAGGTTTTTACAAGCTTTAATCAACAAAATAATTGGTTTTTATGCACTTTATAGACATGAACAAATAACAGTTCATTTGCTTTCCAAATTTGTTGAAATGCATATACTTTGTGGACAAGAGTAAAAAGAACGTTATTTTTGACGTTTAAAACCAAATATCAAAGTAGTCTTTTTAAAATAAAAATCTCAAATAATGAATATTTACGGTCCCTGGTTTTTACTGCTCTAAATTTGCTCACGCATTAAACGGTTTAGCATGCAATTAACACGTACATCTCGCACACACACACATATGCGCTGGTGTAAGTTTGCATACGCACTTGTTGTCGTACGTGTTAATAAAACTAATTTGATTAGCTAACTAGTGTAAGTAGCGGTTTCCACTTGTCTGTTTGCCTACGCCAGCCACTAAAACCCCCTCCAAAAATATCCTGTGTGCTTTGCGATACCTAAAACAACAAGTGAGCTGTGTTTTGGTGGGCTTTCTGGGGTTAAACATGGTGGGTGGGTGGGTATGGGTATCGCACACGTTTGGCATTAATTTAATCCTTCCGCAGAATAAAGTGATATCGCCACTAACAAGGCAAACACATTAAATATTTATGCCGACATCAGCAGACACGCATACATGTACGGGAATATGTAAAATTAGTCCTTTAAGGCTTGCTTATGTATGTGTGTGTGAGACTTTTAATTGCTGTCGTCAAAGGCTAAGGTAAGAATAATTGCAAGATTGGGAATAATGTGTCAAGTTGTGTGATGTGAGGCGGTGGCTGATTACATCAAAGGGCGGCACACACACAGATACTCACTCAGACAGTCGCACTTTGAAGTGTCAACAGGCAAAGGACGAAGAATGAAACCGAGGAGGAGGCGACAAAAACAACAACACACACGTTATCCATCATGGCATCTTTCACTTTTGTCAGCGAAATAACAATGGCCTCTTAATTACACCAGTGTGTGCCGCTCTCTTTGAATGTGTGGGTATTCTTTTTTTGGAAGTATGGGTAAAGGATATTAAACACCGGGGGAAAATTATTCTGAAAAAAATATTCAATGTATTTATATCAAAAATAAAATGAAATATAAAATATAATATAAAATATATAAAATATAATATAAAATATAAATATAAAAATAGATATTAATTGTAATGATTTTAAATAATATTCAATGATATGCTACAGAAAATGTAATAAATCTTAAATATCTTTAAAGGTAATTTTAGATACAAAATATTTATTTTTTTATGATATGTTTTGGAATATTTAATTTTGGTATGTGGTGCTTGTTATTATTAGGATTAGTAAATTAGTGTTTATATTGCCGATAAGTCTTAATCAATAACTAATCGATTTTAAGTCTTAATTAATATTTTGTTCAGTGTACCATGCATTTCCTAGTGTTTGTTTAGTCAGATGTTTGCTCGACACTTTCCTTTGGCTTTTCCTCTGCTTGGCGGCTCTTGCTTTTGGCCAACACTTGTTGGCAAGTTTTCTTTTGGCCTTTTTTTGTCGTCGCCTGCCGTTTCCTTTCCATTCCTTTGGCGGCCTTCCTTTGACTTTGACTATGACTAGGACTTCGCCTAGTTTGGCATAATGAGCACACACACACACTGCAATCTCGAAGGAGAGTCCGCCATGTGAGGATCCTGCGACAGGATGTTAATTTCAATTTAAATGCCGGCCAGCTCCTTGAGAGCTCCTCGCAATGTCCTTTGGCGCCCCCGGGCGAACGTCGTCTCAAGTCGAACTTTGTCCACTTTTGACTGCCTCCTTCTAAGGACCTTCCTGCAATTGCATTGACCAAAAGTCAAGAAGAGAGCCTGCGGCCTTGGCCTGTGAACTTTAATTGGATTCTTTGTGGGGCTCCAAGTTCGAAATGAATTCATTTTCTGTGTGTGTGCTTACTCAGTTTGGCTTCCTGGAAATAATCCCATTGCTGATCTTTCGCCACTCATTTGGCTAATTAAAATGGCATGAACAAACAGAAGCAGCTCATCCATTTACATTTATGAATTATCGGTTCGAATATAGAACACCGTCATGACTCCACCCCTTTTTTTTCGCCTCCTCTGACAGCCCATAATTCACACATCGAACTTTGGGGTTACGGGCTAAATCTTAACAGAGCCTCGGAAATCACGTACAGGACGAAAGTTGCCGGATCCTTGGCATTATTGTCTTTTAAGCTAACCCAGTGCCCCTTCCCTTCCACCCTTCGACCACAACAGCTAATTAACGTTAATTTATTAAATCAGTGAGCAAGTAAAGGCATCCGAGCAACTTTCCTGCAAAAACCGGGGGTCTGGTAAGGAGGATGGGGCAAAGACAGCGCCAAGAGCTGCCAGAGATAAAAGTTGCACACGAGTCTGCTGCTCGGTTCTGAAGCTCAGGCTTAAGCACTTTGGGTTTTTTCTATACCCAGCAGTTGGGAAGTTAAAGGGTATATTGGGTTCTTAAAATTATAGGGATAATTGAGAGGGCAGTCCCGTGATTCATGGTATTATCTTTGCTATACTGTGTGTGTCGGCAGAGAGTCAGTAGAGAAAAAAATTAAAATCTTTAAATTAAATAAGAATAATTAAGATTAAGATATTTCAAAGAACTATAATACAAATAAAATGTAAATAACTTTTTAAATTCTATGATTTTAAGAAAGCAGCCTACTAATTTAAGGGGGCTTTTCTTGGTATACTGTTTGGGTAGGCAGAGAATCGGCAGAGCATCACGTGAATAATATGTTTAAGAGTGTGAATATAATATTTTATGATTTTTACGCATTAAAAATTAAATATTTCATGATTTTTACGCATTAAAAATATTATATTGACAGGCAGTTATTTATTTTTCATTTTCCAATTATTTTTTCCTAGGTAACCTATAGTCCATACAACCCCTTAAGACATGCTTCGCATTCTTACTTGTCTTAGCTGGAAAAGCATGAAAACCACACGCAGCAATTATTAATTCAATTATTTTAGCGCAAACAGCCACCTCAGACTAGGAGCGAGAATAGCTCGAATCCTTGAGACCGACAATCCTGCAGGACCAAGACGCAGGAAGCTGTGTGGCATAAATGAGTTCTCTTTTCAGAGCGAGTGGATGAAATAGAGTAGCACAAACACAATTAAGACAGCAGGAATGAGGGTAGGAAAAAGAAAGAAAGAAAGGCGAGCAAATAAAGTGGCAAATTTAATTAGGAATCAGCAGAGAGAAAGGCCAAAGTGCAGCACTTTGAGTGCCGGGGAATACCTGATGATAACCCACATCGTCACTCCGCCGGACATGTGAATTAATAACAGCATCCGTTTCCGGTGGAAAAGTAGGCGGGGTAGGTGAACTCGAATTCCAGGGACAGAATTATAATAATAATATTAATAACGAGTGGCGAAAAAAGCAGACGGCGGACAACGGACAGCGTGTCCGTAACAACTTCCGGAATTAAGTTGGCCGTTTTATTGTCGCAGAAAAGTTTGCCCCTTGGGGGCTGGAAAACAAAACGAATGTAGGTAAATTGTAAAATGCAAAAGTTTCCCAAGTTGAAGTCACCTGCTCGGGTTCCCAAACTACTAAGCAAAAAAAAGAGAGAGCAGAGGGGATGAGGGAGCAATCGAAGCAAAGTCCCTTTTGTTTCAATTCACGTCCAGGACAATTGGCCAGGATCCAGAATTCAGAATCCCGAATCCAGACAGGAAAACCGAAGCTCATCAGGCATCAAGGTATAATTTGGCCGGGGACTATTTCATTTTACGGCCAAAGTGGCGCATTTGCATAAAGTTTTATTTTCTTTGACCCGCACTTGGGGATTTCTTTGACTTGCTTCGACCGCGTTCTTCTTCTGTTTTCCCCTGCCTGATTTCCATTTCGTCTACTTTGTCGCCAGGAAGTGATTTCCTGCAGCTGCAGCTATTGAAATTCAATATCTTCTCGGGAGGGTGGGTGGTGAAAAGTCCCACGGGGAGTATTGGTTTGCCTTAAAGCCCATGGATCAGCTTTAACAAGTGTTTGCACCACACATCGTCACATCATCGCAAGAATCAGACACACACATCCGTCAGCAGTCAGCCGCCCAATATCCTTGGAAGGTAATTTGAAAATCAAACAAGCAGCGAGCGACTCCCTCGCAAATCCTTTCAATTGCTGCAATTTACTGGATAAATAGGATCAAAATCGAATTTAAATGGCAAACAAATTTTTCCTGATTTCGATTTTGTTGACAGAACTTTTCACTTATGTCGCTGAATAAGCAGATTATGCCAACAGGGGTTGTCTACTGGATATATTTGGCACACCTTTAGCTCACAAGGGGTAAAAATAACAAACCGCTGTTTGAAATCGCCAATAAAGGAACTAAAAGTATGCAGTAAAAAAAGGAATTTCTTCTTAAAAGGTATTGTTGCATACTTTTAGACACCATGTTTTTTTAAATAGTTGGGTTTGAAATCACCAATAAAGGTGTCTTAAAGTAAGCAGTAAAAAATAAATTTCTTCTTAAATGTATTGTTTCATAATTTTAGACACCTTTAAAAAAATTTACAAATCCCAGTTATATTTATCACACAGAAATGTTGCCATTTAAACGCCTTAGAAATATTTTAATTAAATTTCGCATTTGCACTTGAATGGTTATCCCTGTGGCAGGCAAAACTATTTACGTGCCTGGAACAAAAGTGAAATCATTCGATTTTATTTATTTTCACTCGAAACTGAAAACTTTTTCCCCGCCAACCAACCGACCGACCCCTCTGAAAAGAAAACTTGCGCAAAAAGGCAACCGAAAACTTTTAGAGAAAACTTTCTTGCCTCTCTCCTCTTCTACAAACATAAACAAGATTAATTTCACATGTTTTCCAGGGGGTGGCGAGAATTTCCTTGAGGCTGAGAAGGGGAAAGGAAAAGCGCTGCTCGAGTTATTACTTTGATTATGTTTATTCTAGTCATGAAATCCAAATTCCCGTTTCATGTGCACTTCATTTAATAAACCCATGCCGCCAAGTGAAAGCGCGAAATGATTTCCATGGCATTTTTGTCTGCTCGTGCAAGTTTTCCTCACTTTGTGTGATTAGCCAAGTGAAAAAACAAGAGATTAGGCAACTATTTGCGACTTCATTTGCCTATGGATAATTCGCTGGTGTGGGAATTATCATACCTCATTACTTATTCGTTTCTAAGTTTTATGAGGTGAGATAAAATACACTTTTTCGTTTAATTGTATTAGAAAAATTAAAAGAGTCTTAAAATAACCTAAAATGTATCTAAAAGTATGCAATTATTGTATTCTTTTAGGCACAATTAAAAGAGATTTTAGTCATATTTCTTATGCATATACCTAAAATTCGAATCCAAGGAACCCCTAAGTTTGCTCAGTTTTTTTCGGAGTAGCCAGAATTTAAATTTGATTTCTGATTTAAAGGGTAAGAAAAGACGGCCAAAGACAAAGCTCTTTAATATAGCCACTAATCTAGACGCTGTCTGTGATCTTTCCACTATTCCCGCCAAGTGCTTTGCCAATTTGGCCATCATCCAATTCACTCATCTTATAGACCATATCTATCTGCGATCTGTGGCGACTCTTAAGTGCTTTTAATTATGTCCACTTAAGTCTCAATATCGTCAGCTTCCGAAGCGCGCAAATCACAGGAAGCCACACGCATTGCAACAGGAAACTGGGTAAATTAGGGGAGCCAAGGGGAATCGGTGAAACTGCTCGGCGCACTCTAAATAAAGCATAACAATTTATGAAATTTTAATTTTTACACTTAATAACACGCCGAGTTATGGGCGCGCCGAGTGAAACGGGGCAAGAAAATTCGCGAGGAAAATTGGCGAAAAAAAAATGGGGAACAGGGGAACTTTCTTATAGAGACATCAATGTGAGACGCACGGGCAGGTGCCCAAATCTCCGGGAGTGGCACGAATTGCGGTGCAACTTGTGTGGCACAAACCGCAGACGTTGGGCGCAATTAGAGACGCCCCGATATATATGTATATATGTATATATTCATATATAGTCGGTCGGGGAACTCACGGATTATGCTATAAGTCGAGTGGTCTCACTTTCAGAAAATTCACGAAACTCGCGTACCAATTTCAAACTGGAACAGACAATTTATGGTCTTCAAGTTTCTATCATTAGAAAATTAGCTATTTGCTTCTTAAAAGATTTATATTAAAATTCCGGGTTATTAATCAACCAACAGTGAATATTAAGATTTATCAAGAACTGTAAAAATAAAATATTAATGATGCCATTATACAATTTAATAACTCAAACGATTTGATTTCTATTATAATACCTCCCTCTCCCTTAAAAAAAACAACTGTTTACATTTCTTAAAAAAATCTTATTAAAAATATAAGACCTCTATGGGGTGAAAAGGGGGGACCTTGTGGAATCCGATTGACAATAGTCCACATGAAATATATACAGATTTCTGCTATACCGACGAATTAGTCGCACCCCAACGAATAACTACATACATTTCCTGAGCGAACTGAAGAATTCCTTTTGCTTTCTCAGTCAAGAATTTTCAATTTCAATTAAAGTGCGGTGAAAGTTGAAAATTCTCCCTGGATGATACTACATATGTTCTCCCCGTCTGTTTCTGTTTTTCTTCTATAATAGATTCTCCTCAGTTTCGTTCCCGGCTGAACGTTCAAAATTTTGATATTGTATCTGGCGAAAAACCAACGGAGATCTCCGATTTTGGTTCTTAGTTCTGACTGGGATCACTGGAGGTTGGGCTATGGTCCAACTCCCGAATCCTCTCTACAGGATAAATGGGATCGGAGATCTCGATGGCGTGGTTGAGTTCATTGATCATCGTGGTGATGAGTCCCTGGTGCTGCTGTTGCATTTTGGCCTGCAGGCGCTGATTCTCCTCGGCCTGTTTAAGGACCAGGTTCTTGAACAGGTTCTGCTGGATCTCCAGCTCGCTTCCCACATATCCGGGTCTCTTATGAAGCGGCACTGGAGTTATGATGCTTTTCGGGGCACTTAAGTGGGCGGTTCTAGTCGTAGGCTTTGTAGGTTTGGTAGATGGAACTTCGCTTTTCCTAGATTGATTGCCACGTTTTGTGGTTATTCTGGCAGTCTGGATTTTGACGAGTTGAGGGGAATCAGTTGGAGGTAGTGGAATCAGCTTGGGTATACGACTCTGCATTTTACCAATCGAAGATTTAGCAATCTGTGGATCACTTTTGATGGCTGAAGGAAGCTGCGGTATGGGAACCTCAATGGGAGCTCTTCGCCAAAGTGTATTAGGCAGTTTTAAGAGATCTGGACTGGTCTTGCAACGCTTCAGGTTTTCTTCCCCCTCCTTTGGTTGGTTATTTTGCGACTTTAATGGATCCCATTTGACTGCCCAACCAATTTCCGAGGCTCCCATTTGAACGGCGTTAACCTTCATCACAGCTCGTTGAGGTTTAGGTTTTTCAGAATTCTCCATTACCAGTTGAGAGGTCATCAGAATGGGCAAACTTAAGCCGGTTTCAATCTGCATTACCATATTGGCCGTGTAATCATAGATCATGGTCTCTGATCGCTCTAGTTTTTGTCGAAAGCGACCCATTACCATTAAAGGTTGGATTACCTCAAGTTTTTTGGTATTGGTGGAGGCATCTTGCTTTTCAGTACTATTTAATTGATTTCTTTTCAAGATGACTTCCTTGGTCAAAGCGCACAAACGAAGACGCATCATTTCCAGTCTTTTCCAGTCAGTCATCTAAAATGTTTTTCGGAAATGAATATCTTATAATAATAGTTATTATAGAAAATAACAAACCATGGGAGGCAGAATGGGTTTGCCATTCAGGCTATAACCCGACTGAAAATCGGCACCTTCAATATTTTCCAGTTCCAATTGGAACATTAGCTGTTCTGTCTCATTGGCCATTTGCAGCAAATTTCGTGTAGATATTTCAGGTATCGAAAGTTATATGTGTTTTCTATATGGGGAATATTTTCAAGAATTTATTTGTTGTGTGATGTGTAGAGTAAAGGAATGGAATGGAGTAGGAAAGGAATGTGAGTTGAGCCAACAACGGTTGACAGTTGGGGTTTGTTTGCCTGGACTACTAGTCCGCACACCGATGTCGGTGGACTACATACACTGAAAGAAAAATAGAGTAAAATTCATATTTGTTTGAAAAAAAACAAATGAAAACAGGAATAAATTCCAGATTTTCCTGTGAATCCATAATAAAAATGTTTATGTTAAAAAAATTATATTTATAATGTCCAACACAAAGCTTAAAATTGTCCAACTATGGGTTGTTGGACCTCGTTGAGCTCGTTTTGAAATTCCCAATCGATCGGCATTTAAGCTTATAAAAATGTGAAAATTGGACAAGGAATTAATTTTTTTGAATCAATTTATTTTATTGTTTGTTGTTCAAAACGGTATGCATTTTGGATTTGGGACCTTTTTTGTACAGTCTACATTAAAAAAAACCTTACGAAAAATTTTATTTTTCCCATAAACCCAAAGCCTGATTTTTTATATACTAAAACAAATTCTGATAAAAATATTATTTACAATATTTATACAAAAACCTTTTACGAAAAATTAATAAATTGGGGTAAACATATTTAGCCTAGAAAAATAATACTTATAATAAATATACAGAGTATTACTTAAAACAATTTGCCCCTTAAATCAATATCCCAACCCCACTGACTTTTATTTTTTCCGAGTGCATGCCACATGCAATCCCCGTCCTTATTTGTGTCCCAATCCGGATGGAGAGTCCTGACAAATGCGCCGCTCGTCGCCGGAGCGTGCCGCAAAAGGTATATGTACCTTACGAGGGAGAAGTCGGCAGTCGAGCGTGGAACTGGCAAACGAGAAGCACAAATAGAGTCCACTCCATTACCGGCAGGACATTCGTCCTTTCTTTCCTTTCTTTCCCGCACATTTAGGTGGACCGTCTGGAAATTTGTCTTGGGCGCTTGTAGGTGTGATTTGTTTTTTAAATTTTGGGCCCGAGTTCCAGAAGCTGGCCAATTTGTCTACCCCACTAGGTTGACTTTTTATTTGCAACGAAGTCACGTAGCATTTTCACTTGCATTCACTTGCGACATGCGGCAATTTTCCACTAAATTTGCCATGTCAAACATATTTTGGAGACCTGCTGCTCTCGTACTCCTCCGCTCATAAAGAATTCAAATTAATACATTAACAACTCGAGATAAGCGACCTTCAGGGGAGGAAGTGGAAAGTGGGTGGTACTTCTGGATATTCCAACGACAGGTAATAAACGCCGAGTTGTTCGTGCCAAAGTCTCGAAAGTTTTGCTCCAAGGCAATTTTCCTCAAGTGGCAATTCGGGAGCGTGCCAAGTGCCTTGGTAACGGTAACAGCCCACGGATTACGGAATACTGGCTGAAAAAAAAAACACCCAAGTGGGTTAAGGCTTGGCACTCTACGGTTAACCGCCAGCACCACAAAAGGTATTTATCTCATTGTGCGCAGATTAAGAGCTGCTCTCAAATTAGGTGAGTGTCGTCACGTGACACAAGATGAGATCTAGATAGAGATGAGGTTGGATGGTAAGAAAAAAGGTAGGTAGAACAAAAGGGGGTTTACACATGGTTGGGAAAAATTCTCGGAAAAACTCGTACTAGAAATACAGCGAGCTTTAACATTAAAACACATTTCTAAAATTCATTTAAAATTGTTTCATGTTAATCTAGAATTTCTTCTAGCTCGAACACTCTTTCGTCCATTTATTTTAAATTGGTTCATGTTTTCTAGATAGATATAAAAAAACAAAACTTAGAAAATGTAGAAGCCATCAATAAAGTCTGTTGAATTTTAAAGCAGCTGATGCTATGCTTTTAGACTCTAAGCGAATTTTTATAAAAATACTTTTTAAAGTTTTCTTGTACTCAAAAATTTTTGGCAATTTTCCCTTTTTTAAAAACATTTAATTGCATAATGTTTTTAGAGATTTAATGCCAATCAATAAAATTCTACAGCATTCCACGTATGAAATATTTATTTTCTTTTTTTTGATAAATAGTTTTTTTGGATCTCAAATATTAACTAAATTATCGCAATTTCTATAAATTTTCTACAAAACATCTTTACAAAAAACTGTGGTATTTCGATGACTTAAACCACTCCCAGCAAAGGTCTAAACTCACTTCAGGTTATGCAAAGCTTAACCCCTTAAAGGCCCCCTGGCTTCTAAGTGCCCAACCTCAATGTATTGTGCAAAAAGCCAGCCAGACTCCGCTTCGGTTACACTTCATAAATTTAAAGAATTATGAGCCGTGACCCAGACGGAAGTGGAATGCAATCCAAGTGGCCGAGTGGCCAGGACACCGTGAGTCCTGTGAAGGGAGGAGGTCAACAGGTAATAACGGTTGCACGATTGGTTGGTCCTGCCAATTTCCGCTGAATTTACAACCGAGCGCAGAGATGTCGGTGTGGATTACAACCATAATTTTTTATATTCCCCCCATTTTTATGGTTGGACAATCGATGAAGGCTGAGCATTGATTTTCGCTGATTCCCCAGGAAAGTTCAAGAGTCGAAGTTCAAAGCTGCGGCATTCGCATTCGCTTTAATTGAGTTGCCAGGGGTTCATGCATATGCAGGGCTCAATTAAAAGTGCGCCAAGAAAAACCGAGAAAGACAAACAGAGGCGAAGAAGAAGGAAAACTGCTTGGAAAAGAGGGGGGAAATGTCTGCGAGTGACTCAACTGAAGTCTCCTGTCTGTTGACATTTCGCGGTATGGAAAAAATTAAATTAAAATGCAAATTAGGCATTCCTTTCGAAAGGAGTCTGGCCTGCAGTCTGCGATTCCCCCTTTTTTCGTCTTGAGCACAGAAAAGTGACAAATTGTTGTAAACACTGCTCAAGTTACGTATTCGCCTCGTGGGACCTCGACTGTCACCTACGAAAAACCGAGGGTTCAAGGGAAGGCAATAGGTATATTGTATACATATTTTAACACAGCCAAGAGGTCCCGACTTTTTAGCCAAGATGAATGTTTTTATTTCTGCGCCTGGCTTTCCTCCTTTTCTGCGGTAAATTATGCAAAGTAGTTGCGTAATGCTCTTGTTACAATAATTTAATCTTGTAATCTGTTTCTGTTCGACTCCCCGGCAAGTGCTATAAATAATTCAGCTGGCCTTCTGCTGCTCAGGAAGCAGCCTCTGCCGAAAGGAAAAATATCCTTGGAAGAAGGAATCTTTGCATTTTTAATTTCAAGGTAAACAAGCGCAGATAACTTCGCCGCCAGAAACGGAATCCTAATGAGCCGCTCCTCAAGGTGACTTCGGTACTTTGCTTTCTTGCATTGACATTTCCGCAGGAGGCTAAGCAAGTTAATTCAATTTCCGCAAGCTGAAACAAAAATAAAAGAAGAAGGCACAAAGTTTATCCAGTCAACCCCTTTTTGGATTTTTGGGGAGGGATCTTTGGGTACTAACGAACCCCATTTGCGGCTGGCTAATTATGCCATATGCCTTTGAAGAGCTCTTTAAAAAGTACAGGTTAATCTTACTTTGTGTTGAGGAAATATATATAAAATTTATCAAGGTTGCCACAGAAATTTGAATGGTTTTTTAAAAAACCTATAACAAATTTATAACACTTTATTAAATTATTTAAAAATGTTAAATGTAAAAATATATATTGTATCTTAAGGAAATTTAAGTTTATTAGCTTAGCATTTTAACGATTTTTAGCTAATTACAGGTTGCGCATCCCTTGATAAGCTCTTTAAGGATTCCACGTCAAGCCGGCGGCCATAAATCAGCTGTCACAAAATGTAAATCCACCGGCAAAAAAGAAATCGCAGACAATATAAAATTTCAATAACATTCCCGGCGTGTCTTGTCCTTTGGCACAAGGTGCACATGGAACAGCCACATGCTCGCCTCGCACATTTTAGAAGCAATAAGGATACCGGTTTCCTTTTTTCGTTTTTGGAAGGAAGGAGCCGGTAAACAGGATCCGAGCGGAAGCAATACACGTTGACACGTCGCAGGGATACAAAATGTGGCGCTGTTAGTTCCGCAGTTTCGCCGGAGACAAAGGACAGCAGCGTAATGTAACGTAAACTCTATTGAATTGCGATAAAAATCGCGTTTGCCAGGGAAGCACCCTTTGAACTGAAGCCCCCGGGACACGGGTTTAGCCGTTTTAAAGCATACTTTGCGGCTTGTCAACAGGCGGCAAAATTTATTGCAAATGTACGCCAAAAGAGTTGGACGAAGTTCGAGATGTTTGTGTTCGAAGTCGGGTGGTTTCCCTATAAATAAATAATAATATAAATTTTTGAAAGGATCGTTTTTATTCTTCAGGTACGAAAAATAATGAAAACTATTTTGGAAATTAGATTATAATAAATTGACTTAAATTCTAAGCTAATAAAAATACTTTCTATTTCTAAAGTTCAAACTTTCACATTGTTTTTGAAAAAATCACAAAATTACCATACTTTTAGACACCTTTTTTTGTTTCTATTTAACATAGACCTAATTTTAAAATATTTATTTGATGTTATTTCTCAAGTATTTATTTATTTGTAAATATTTTATTGGTCTTTTATATTGTAAACAATTTTTAGACTTTTTAGAAAATTGTTCATAAAACCTTAATTTTAGATAATTTCCTATAAGAAGTGTACCAAAAATTCGTAGTGTTTTATGAGGCCTTCTTTCTTTACTTTGGAATGCTGTTCCTGCTGACAATGTTATCGTTACGGTTATTGATTGAAATTTTTTACACTTTGCTTGTTGCCACATTTCCTGCCCCTTAACCCGCTGTTACCCCGCCAGGCAAACTGACATTCGGCTACGGCGGGTTAAGGGTTAAGAGAAGGCGACAGCTGTTGTTCTGGTTTTTGTTTCGATTTTTTGGAAAGATAATGAAGAGTGAAAAGCCCAACCTAGCAGTTATCATCTGGGGCAGGTATTCTTAGACCATTTCCTTCTACCGAATCCATATGGCTCCGTTCTGGCTTACACGCACATCCTGTCAGTTGCAGGACCTTTCAGTGG